AGGAGAGGAGAGGAGAGGAGAGGAGAGGAGAGGAGAGAAGAGAAGAGGGCTCATGCAAGAAACCTAGCCACTGATGAACACCAGAATTGTTATTTTATACAACACCTCCATTCTGAATGGAAATCCTGAGAATATCAAATCTATTCTCAAAGTATCAGTATTTGTTATTGTCTGGGCTCTATTATCCAAAGAACCTCAAAATATATTTGATCAATAGAACTATTATTGGAATAAATGAACAGTTTGAAAAGAAAATACTCATTTACATGCATACAATTCTTTATGTCTCCATCTATTCTGTCTGAGTAAATGGTGTGAAACTTTTTATTTAGCTACTCATAGTATGCAAAGCCCATAAGAACAGTTCAGGTATTATGAAAAGGTGTCAGTCACAATGGACAAAGTGCAGAGTCAGTGGCTATTCAGACACACCCACAAAGATGGGTTTAAATAAGTTTGCACAGATGCTTTATTAAAGACCTTTGCTTTTTCTTTTTAACCGTAAACAACATAAAAAGTTTTCTTCTTCTGCATCCATACATATGCCTATAGTGTTCCTTTAATCTGAGTTTCTTCTGAAAAAGTTTCACCATTGGTTAGATGTGCATGGTCTCTGGATGCAGAAATAAGCAAAGCCCAGGTTTCCCATGGGCACTGAAAGTAGCCTCTCATTGTGTCATTTTTGCCACAGTGGGGGAAATGGTTAAAATCAAGTGTGAAATGAAATGTAAAACAATGTCTAGAGATATGTTTAAGAAATACGATGGAAATGGAAATACATTATTTGAAACATAAACTGAAGGCCAAAGGCCTTTTCCAAACATCCCCTCTGTGTCTCATTATTTAGAGGATTTTTGAGCTGTACTGTAACCAGGCACATGTAGAACTTGAGTACAGACAGCTCTGGCTTTCATACACATGTCACAGTGGTGGTAGTGGTGATGATATCAATGGTGGTGATGATGTCAGTGGTGGCGATTATAATGGTGGTGACTGTGGGGGTGGTGATGATGATGATGTCAGTGGTGATGGTGGTGGTGGCAGTGGTGGTTCTGATGATGATGTCAATGGTGGTGATGATGTCAGTGGTGGTGGTGCTGATGATGGTGGTGGCTGTGGGGATGGTGATGATGGTATCAGTGGTGATGGTGATGGTGGTGGTGGTAGCAGTGGTGATGATGATGGTGATGATGGTATCAGTGGTGATGATGGTGGTGGTGGTGGTAGCAGTGGTGGTGGCAGTGGTGGTAGTGAGAATGTTAACAGCAGCTAACAACTTGGACCACTCTTCTGTGCTAAGAACTGTACTGAAGGCGGGATCTCTTTTAATCCTCACAAAAATCCTCTGAGATGGTCATTATGATAATTCCAAAGCCAGAGAGGGTGAGAACAAGAGATTTCCCAAGAGTTAGAAGGGACCTAATGTCTGTCTGTCCTATCTAGCTTCAGTTAGTGAGTATGCTACTAAGCTTTTTAACTGTCCTGATATAATTCATTCCTGAAAACATGTCCAGGCACCAAATCCAGAAATGTCTGAATATATAATATTAGGGACAATCCATTCTAGAATAGGTAAATTATTTGAAAAATTCATTAAATTCTCTTTGGCAAAATAGTCTTGGCAATTTGCACAAGACTTCGACACACTTTTATTCAAAACTGAGTCCCAAACCACATGACAAAAGTTATTCTAATCATGGGAGTCCTTGATTATGGAATGCTTAATGAATCATGGCATTGTTATAAATAGTTTTGGCATTTATATCTTTCATTAAATCAAATAAAACTGATGGGATAAAAATGCTAGATGCTTGAGTGTTAGCACTGACACTGTGTTCCACAAATGGAGGCTTTCACAACTGAACCACTTCCCAGCAGCTACTGCTGAGTAGCTGTGCAAAACTGGCTGCTCCCTGGAGAGCTGGCCAAAGATTTTCATGTTAACTTTGAATTTTTGCTTTTATATCAAAGAAAAGAGTGCTTGGCATTTCTCTGATCTATTACTTAAAACTAGCCAATCATAACAAGTGAGCAGGTGTATACATTCATTCATACATACATACATACATACATACATACATACATAGACGGAAACAGACAGACACAGGTGAAACCTAGGGCATTTTCCTTCTTGGAAAAAAGGGTTTGACTGTCAGGTGACTCTCATAGGCCCAAGTGTTTAGACACATGGTCCCCAGCTGCTGTTGCTCAAATCTTTGGGAGGTAAAATTTTGCTGAAGGAAGTGTGGGTCAGCAAAGATAGGTCCTGGAGTTTTATTGCTTCATCCCCCAATTCTAACTGCCTGCATTCTGGTCTGCAAAGTTGTGAGCAAGCAGCCTCAGGCCCTGCTGCAATAGCCACTTGCTACTCCCATCACCATGCTGTCTCCACCATGATAAACTGGACTCTTAACAACTGACCTTCCTAAGCTATATCCTGTCGGGCCACAGCAAAAGGAAAGGCCACTGACACAGGTGGGCATTAGTTGGAAAGCAAAAGTGGATTTTCTTTTCATCGGGAATTTCTATAGTTAAAGCATGTGCTTGAATTATTGGCAAGGTGATAAATTAAGGTGTACTCCTTACACCTATAAGGAGTATGCAAACACAAAATAAGGCAGAGAAGTGAGGAGGTTTGCCTTGATGCCTGGAACAGTTTGCTGTTCTTATTTACTTGTTGTGACATGGATACCCTGTGCTGCTGCATGGTGGGATATCTCTGAGGAAAGTGTTCGTTGGTCCTCCAAACCATAGAGTGAGGTATACGATTACTATTTATGAAGAATTCACAAAAAGCATGGAAATGCCCTGTCCAGTTAAAACCATGAGAAATGAAAGAAGGGGCTTGCAAAGAGTCTGAAGAGTCAACAGAAAAGAGCTGGGCCCAAGAACGGATCTGTCCTAAATCGTGATGATGGAGGAGAGGGGCTCCACAACCAAGGGGTGACGTGTGAGGGAGGACAGAACGGCAGTGTTGGGGGAGAGATCAGGGCAGAGAGCAGATCACCAGCCTCTCCATGGTCCTGCTGCGTTCTGTCTCGGTGTATGCTGCCTGGCACAGGCAGTGGTAGCCTAGACACAGACTTCAAAGTGGAGATAATGCCATGTACCGAGAACTCTGGAGGAAAAGTTGAGCTGAGGTTCAGGGAACGCAGCCCATGGACAGAGTCAAGACTTAGCCAAATGGTTTGCTTCCCTATTGAGTGTTGATGCCCTAGACTTTGAGGAATCAGCCTAGCGCAGGGATGGAGTTAGAGGAGCAGATAAAGTGTTTACATGGAGTACATTTTGTGACCCTAAGGGCAGAGCCCTGCCCCTTGGGAGGGAGGGTTTGTTATTTGGGGTCATTACTAGAACTTAATCAAAACTGCTCTTTCTAGTTGTCAGTGAGTAGATCAAAGGTGACAAGAACTGGGTCTTGCGTCATCCTAACACTATCAGTGGCTTACAGTAAAGTCCTGTGTCCCTCTCGTTCCACTCACTCATCTTGAACAAACTAGCACTTGCCACTGGGATAGTAAACATCTCCCAATGAGGAAAATATTTTTTTAAAGGAGACATCTTTGGTCTTGCAAAAGGACAAACATGATGTGAGCTAATTTTGAAAGTGAATCCATTTTATCTGTAGTTTGGGAGGACATGCAGGCCTTAGAGGCTTAGAAAAGCACAATAAAGAAGTACGAAGGCTCATGGAATGCATTGTTTCTGAGACAACCTGCTCCTTTTGAGGTATGTCTCTGCAACTTTGCACAGTGGCTGTGATTGGAGCCTCTCTCTGGGACTGGAAGGTCAGACTTCTCGTCCCAGCTACCGTACTGCAGTTGGCACTGACGACTGGCGCACGGTGCAAGTGGGCAGTCACAGTCCTCTCTCCAGAGCGGTGCTCTAGGAATGGAATGAGAAAAGCACTTGCGTGCTGTGCAGTAAGCTGACTAAATTCTGTATTTTATTCCTATTCTAGCTTCTCGTATTCTGAAATTAACAGTTACCAGTAACAACAAGCAAAGCCTTGCAGAGCCGAGTTGTTCAGAAGCCCCCTTTTAGAATTAATTCCTTTCCTAAACTATGTATGTAAATGGATAGGAAATAGAAGGAACCAAATAACAGGAATTTTCTTAAAACATGCTGATGTTAGCAGATGTATCTTTAGAAAGCCTTATTTGGTAAATTATTTAGTACTAACTTTGGTTTCTTTCTCTTTTAAAAACTTTTCCTGGGTGAGTATTTTTAAATGATAAGAAATGACTTTAAAACGATGTTTCGCTAATTAAACTACAACACTCTACAGGTGTAGGTATGTAACGTCTCCTCAAGAGTGTGTGACCTGAGTCAGCAGAAGATGGATGTATGAACCACAGGATGAACACACACCAAATGGCTCCTGCTTCAATCTGAGAAAGCAGGGATTATTTTCTATACTGGCAGCAAATAGCTATTATTATTATTATTATCATTTACATTTTACATGAAAATTTCTTTTTAAAACTTTGATTCTAGCAAATTTCATTCTAGCAAACTCTGAATAAAATTAACAAAACGAAAACATATAAACAGGCAACTTTTTGCAATAAAATGCAAGACCAGATTTATAGAATTTCTTTTGTATAAACTTAGTAACACTGTATTGATCATCTAACCAAGTTGGAGGGTTCTGCTGGGTTATAATCCATTGTGATATAAAGAAATTATACTCTCTTAGATATAATTCCAACCTAAAAACATTTCATATATTAATGTCAATTTAATTCAGGGAAATTTTAAATATGGAAAGTATTAAAAAATTGAATTATCTAAATAATGTAAAATAAACTTACACTTCAGTCTTTTAAATGGTTTTGGTCAATAAGGTAGTTGAAAGGGGATCTTCCCAATTTTGTAATTTAATGAAAGAAGCCAAACATAATTAAAATGCAAACTCCCAACCCAACAGTGCCCCACACATGATATCCACAGTCCTGTGACCTCCACCCGAACCAGCCTCTGACTAGCGTGTCTGTTGTCTTATACTCCTGAGCATGAGCCAGAACTGAGGTGGTGTGTGCCTCACCTGGGCCTGTCTCAAACACATCCTCTGAACTCACAAAACCAGAGTCCCCCTCAGCACCAACTCGAACTTTGTATGCTGTTCCTGGCATGAGACCCTTTAACCCAAAGAAGCTTCGAGAACCATTTACAAGTTCCTTCCTCCATTCTTCTTTGCCTATGGAAATTTCGCAAAAACAAAAACAAACAAACAAAAAACAAATTTGAACATTTCAAGGACCAGAAGTTACTTAATTCTTCATGAAAGGAAAATTGTCTTTTAAGTAAAGATTAAAAACCCTGGTGTGATTAAATGTATCATTTTAGATTATTAAAGATCTAATTGTGTCAAATAAATCACTTAAGCTAAGAGAAAAATACCCTCAAAGAGGAACCTATTGGACACCTAGTGTGCAAACAAATACACAAATCCCATTATGGTCATTAATATTTTTGATGCAAAGGATACTGCCTCATCTGCTCTTGCCTCATGAAATGGCTGAGTTTCTTTCAAGATGTCTGCATGAAGAACTATTGCAAATTAAGTAGCTACAGTGAACTATGAGAATTGTTCATAAAGATTCGTAAGATGAATCTTTTGATAAATTTAAATGCCTTTATATATATCCAAGTTACAGATTCAACATGTCCCAAGCATTGATTTTTCCAAAGGGATAGTTGTTTGCAAAAATACATATTTGCCCAATAAAGGCCCACTGCACTGAGAGAGGGGTGGGTTTTCATGGGTCATTGGAAACTCAGCCCGCCTGCACCTTCAAGATGTGGCTATATGCGCACAGAGAGCTGACTCAGGAATACATAAAACAACAAGACAAAACAGATGTGTCTACAGTTTTAATTTTTTCCATTTACTGTAAAATTTTGTTGAGTTAATTTGGGTAAAACGAATTCTTTCCTTTCAGTTTGATTTCTACTACTAGAAATTCCAGATTGAAAAAAAAAGTTGTCTTATGTGTACTTAAATGTTATTAGTTTTGTCTACATGTTATATTTACAGAACCAACTTAAGGTGCTCTGCTATGAAAAATAACATGTAGTGAGGTTCTGACCCTATTAGTAACAGAGTATTTGTATTTATATATGAAATAGAGGCCTTGCAGTTCACTGCAACTTTACTCTAATGATGTTGACTCTCTTGGTGGGATCAAGTTATTTTTTAAATGCAGCCCATGGTAAATCCTAAACATTATTCTGAGTCTCCTAAAATGTGTCCCCCAAATTGAAAGCAGGGTAATAAATCATGTCTTACTGCCTGCCACACCATATTCAACATAAAACTTCACATGCTCTGGTCCCTCATATTCCCAACTGATATTGGCATACGTCTCAGCGGCTGCGGCAGTGAGATTGCTGATCCTGGGGTTTACTGCTCGAACTAAATACACAACAGAAAACAAAACAAACAAAACACACAAACAATCATATTGCAGCACCATACACACCGACTGAAAGATCGAATAATCTGAAGTTGTGCAAATAAAATATTAGAATTTGTTATAAAAGTAATTTAGAGTCCATGCATCTCCACTTTTTGTTATAGAAAGATTCTTCTCTCCGTTACTAAAATAGTATAATAACCAGAACTAATGGCATATGCTATTAAAATCATGAATTCTAGTACATGGTTTCTAAGTAGTGCAAAGTGCTTCTCATTTTATCCAGTCCCAGTAAATATAACTGTCTTCATTTACTGATGGATAATGGGGATTAATGAAGAGTCCTGAGTACAGAAGTCATTAGAGTGTTCAGAGATATCCAGGTACCATTAGGCTACTTTTACATTTTATTTAGCTTCTCAGTGAAGGTCTCCAAAGTATGTGTGTTGGGAGGAGAGAGAATATTCTCTAGAGTAGAGGCTTCTGGCCTGCCTTGAGTCACAGATAGGATCTGAGGAGCTGAGAAACTCGTGTGTTAGGGGGTGGTGAGTAGTGAGGACACACAGGAAGAACAGGGACAAATGGGGTGGCCCACTATGCTCTGCTGGAGGCTGAGAAGCAATAGAAAGAGCGGGAACTAGCTGACCTACTACATCCCAGAGAGTGACAGTCTTGCCTAGTGTTGGTTACATAGCATTTCCTAAAGAGCATATAACAGAGGGACTGGCTTCTAAAACTCCAAATTAAAGAAGCTACATGATGCTCTCGATATGCTTACAATGGAGTAAAAAACACAGGTGAAGTAAGTAGAAGTGTTAAAAGCGGTATACAGCAAGCTCACAGCCAACATCAATTTAAATATAAATCTCTTGGGTAAACTGGGGACAGAGATGGGGTAGGATTATAAGAGATCAGGTAGGTTTGGGGCAGGATTGAGGGGGAGAGCAATAAAAGACATGTCTTGATGGGGGAAAGTATATCAGGGTTAGGGAGAAATCCGGTGCCAGGGAAACCCCCAGGAATCCCCAAGGATGACCTCATCTAAGACTCCTAGCAATAGTGGAGAGGGTGCCTGAACTGGCAATCTCCTGTAATCATATTGGGAACTGCCCTAATTGTCATCGGAGAGCCTTCACCCACTAACTGTTGGAAACAAATGCAGAGATTCACAGCCAAGACTGGGTCAAGCTCTGGCAATCCTGCTTAGGAGAGGGACCTAATATTGTATGAGCCTGTTCAAGATCATCATAAGGGAACCCACAGAAACAACTAACCTGGGTTCATAGGAGCTCAGAGACTCTGGACCAACAGCTAGGAAGCCTGCATAGGACTGACCTAGGCCCTCTACATATGTAGGACAGTTCTGTAGCTTGGTCTGTTTGTGGGTCAGGGCCTGTCCCTAATGCTTGGGGACCTATTTTCCTTGCTAGATTGCCTCGCCCAGCCTTAATACAAAGTGGGGAACTTAGACCTAACTCAACTTGATATGCCATGCTTTGCTGACACCCATGGGAGGTGTGCCCCTTTCTGAACAGAAACAGAGGAACAGTAGATGGGGGGCACAGAGGGGAGTTAGGGGGAGAGAGGAGGGAGAGAGAGAAGGGAAACTGTGGTCCAGATATAAAAATAAATGAAAATTTTAATTAATAAAAAGTGTTGAAAAGCAAGATAGATGTATTTTTGATACCTAATGTATTGTTAACTGTAGTTAAAGTATCTATACTAAAACCATATTTAGTTTTCTCTTCAATGCACTCATTAAGATTGCAGTTTCTTCAGGTTATATTGTTTGGTAACTTTTAGAATAGGGAATTCTAACCTTCCTTCCCATTGGCTGTCCCTTTGTTCCACTTTCCCGCTCACTGAGCACCTGGGATGTAGCCAACAAAGGACTCTCAGGGCTGTGTGTGCTCTCAGCTTCCCCAAGGGTCTCCCTGCCTACTTATCACTACAATAAACCTTTCTCTACTGACATCTACTGATACCGGTTATCCACACATTAGCTTCCTGACCCTATGGCCTGTCATTTCCCTGCCGCACGGTAAGCATGTGTCTTGTTACAAGACTTGAAGGAAGAGTCTTGTTTACTTCCTGATGCGAAAGGTCTGTACCAAGACCTGATGTGAAAGGTCTGTACCAAAGAGACATCCTGACCTGTTACACTGAGTGTTCAAATGCATTTGTGGCTCCTTTTGGTTGTTGTTGTTTATCAGGCCAAATAAAGGCAAAAAAATCATCTAGTGAGAGTCAGATTCCAGGAAGGACCCAGGACTGGCAGTTGCCCAATGGAGCTTCTCTGCTCAGTCCCGGGGTGACCATGGAGACTGCAAATTAAGCAGGGCGTAAACTTATTTACTAGTTTCTCCACTTTCTACAGTAATTGCTCTACAGATCCGTTCTGGTGACTGATGTTGAGCGGATCAGTGTCATAGGAAGACAGATCTGCCAGCAGAGGGGAGCCAGGGGCAAAACCCACATCCACTTTCCTCAGGTCTTGTTTCATAGCTAAACCTCGGCAGACATAGCTCCCAGAGCGCCAGACCCTCAGATTGACTAAGGAGCCATATATGTGGAATAAGAACTACCAAACAAGATAATTTTTATGTGAACTTTGGTGGCTTGGATCAGACAAGGGAGTGGATCAGAATAAACTCCCGAAGATTCTCACTATTCTCTGCTGATTTATTCATACTGAGGAAATAAAAGGAAAACTCTAAGCATGTGCAAACCCCTGGGATCAGTCTCTATTATCACTTGAGTAGTGATCAGTTGGCCACTTTAATTCATCATTGTTAGACTGAAAAAAAAATACCTTGGGAGAAAAATTCAGAATTACAAATTGAATTTAAATATCACTGTGGTAAAATATCATTTTATACAGACAGCATTAATATTGCACTATTAAAATACTGAAAATGACATTAGGGTCACCATTTTTCTTATCTAAATATTATTGCTTTTATTATCTGATACCCATTAGATTTCACATTGAGGACTTAATTTGCTTTTGTTTAATTGTTAATTCTACCTTAGGTTTTTTTTATATATTCCTTGTCCACAGTTGAATTTATTACAACCAAATGAAAAACAAAACTATTAATAAAGATGTATTTAGTTTGAGTTTCTTTTTAAAAAAGAATTGATATTATCTTCTAAAATGACCAGCCAACAGGGAGCTCAGACTTGCTTCACTGTCAGCCCCAAGGAAGCACAAGTTCTTGGCTGGCATTGGCCACGGCCACAGGGACATGCTTGTCACATAGGAGAGGCAGTCAGACTTTCTGTGGGAGTCTTGAGTAAAAGTTACATAGCCTAATTTCCCATAAAACTACCCATCGTTTTAGTTGATAATTATCCAAGAATAGATGTGCATATAAAACAGAGTGACTCTAAAATCCACCTTATATACATTTTGTAATTCACTGAGGTTTTGAATATAAGAAGATTTTATAATAAAAAATTAAGCCTAAGTCTAAACTCACAATAGTGGACACACTTAAGACAAGACCCCTGGCACTCTTGTTCTTTTTTTCCTTCACTCCTATGCACACTCATCCAGTCTATTACAGCCCAAGGCAAGTCCTGGCTGTGGCTACTTCTCTATGTCACTTGGAAACAGCTCAGGGAGGCAGGGACATAGCTGCTCTCTAAAAGCCGACGCTGGTGGACCAACAACCAGGGATCAAAGATGGGGGTGGGTGCTGTGGTACTGCCACCAGTGGAAGATACAACACAAGTGATCAAACACCATTCTCTCAGCAGTGTCTGGGACACAGAGGGCTGTCAGAACTAAAGAGGAAGGGATGCCACCCACCGGAGACCACTGGTTAGAGCTCAGGAAGGGAGACTGGAGCAGTGGGGGAGACAGGATGGAGTGAGACAGTTGTGCAGAGCATGCAGGCCGACTCAGTCACTCGTAGAGACTCAGTCTCGGATCAGCTCTAGGACACTGCTAAGTCAAAGCTCTGGAGGACAGCGTGTTGTGATGCTATCGAGGGTGTGTGTGTGTGTACACAGTGTTGTCTACTGCGGCCAGGTCGGATGGCCATAGGAAACCCAGCTGGTCTGTGTCTAGTAGACTGTTGTCATCCAGTATTAGAATTCCTGACATGTGGCATAGTCATGTGGATCTGTGACAAGTTCACAGTTTTTGTCCCATCTGATCTAACCAAAATTATACTCTTACAGTCTAAGATCAGGATTTGCACCAGGGATAAGTCTTGAGAAAAGAATTTGGGGAGAATTAAACATGTGACTTTCTATTATAAAACCATGTAGAACTTAATTTCAAAGCCGTGATCAGCCCAGATCTTCTCCCTTTGGTGGTTCTGGGCATACTTCATTTTCTCATTTTTACCCATGCTGCAGTTCCCCACATTTTAACATTGCAAAGTGCACACAGGTAGAAAGTCATGCAGATGAATTGTGTTACCTTTGCCTGCACCTACATCAGGTGGAAGAATACCAGCTTAATGAAGGGAAACAGAAACAGGACACTATATAGTTAGATGTAACACATCCAGGAGCATCTACAGCCATATACAAAGCACTTATTAAAATTCTAAGGCATGCAAGAGGAATGAAGACTGTTATAAAAGGCTCAGGGTCAAAAAATGCATTGCTGTCCCCACACTTACCCAATATTCAATATAAACATTACTCACAGTGCATTATTCTAAGACAGCTTAGGACGTTTGACCCATCTTTAGATAGAAATTTTAATTTCATATGCTATATAGAAGCTATAGAGAATACCCAACGAGATATTCTCTATATCCTTAAGCAATTTCACAGTTTGGAGACATGCAAAACCAAAAAATATTTTATAATACTTAAATACTTTTAGGATTTATTTTATTTTACATGTGTGAATGTTTCGCTTGAATATGTGTGAGTACTTCATGTATGCCTGGCTCCCACCCAGGCCAGAAGAGGGCAGCAGAACAGAATTTACTGATGGTTGTGAGCTCTCATGTGAATGCTGGGAACTGAACCTCTGTAAGACAAAAAGTGCTCTTAACCACAGGGCTACCTCTTTAGCCTCACTTTATACTATTCTTGACTTTTAATTAAATCAAAAAAATGTGAATCACTTTTGAAAATATTCAATTTAATGAGAATTTTTTTTTGCTTTCTCTGCAGATGACATACCAGAATCCATTTCTTTGTTAAGCATAAAATAAGTACACTACTTAATTGTCTTAAATTTCTTGCTAGAAATTTTTAATCAATATGTACATAAGCAAATTATTTCCAGTAAATCAGAACTAGAATCAAAATTTTGTATAAGCATTTATGTATGTATAGGCAAAAAAAAGTTACATTGAACTTAGCACTCAAATGTGATGAATTGTTATTATATTTTTATTTCTTATTCCTGCTTCAATATGTTTAAAAGACATATTTATTTACTTGTATGTGTGTCTATCTGCATGAGCTTATGTGCGCTATTGCACATAAGCCAGGTACCTGAGGAGGCTAGAAGAGAACATCAGATCTGGAACTGGTGTGACAGGCAGTTGTGAGCCGCCATGTGGGAAGTAGGAGCTGAACCTGGGTCCTCTGCAAGAGCAGTATGTGCTCTTAACCACTGAGCCATCGCGTTAGCCCCCTGCACCAATACGTTAACGTAAATTAAAAGTTTCATACAGGCTTGAAAAGGAAATAACCAAATGGCTGAACCAAATAACTGATATCCCCCATACGTTGGGATGGGAAATTACAAATAAATATGTTATTAGGTAAGATGAAGAGTCTATAGCACACACACCAAAAAAGAGAAGGAATAAATTTACAATGCTTTTTAATTCCCTGATATTTATAATTATATAGATTTTATACATACCCATCTTACCTTCGTCCACAGTCGTTATTGCTTCCTCTGTAATCTGACTGCCTGATCCCACTGATGTTTGTGCATAGAAATAAAACTTGTACCGAGTGCTGAAATTTAAATTTTTTAAAGTCCAGCGCGTCTTGTTGGCAGGAATTTTTAAGTCTACCAGGGGGCCGAGTTCATGTGTGCTGTTAACTGCCAATGAAAAGTGACAAGCAAGTACATCCCCTATTAGTTTTCCTAGGAATAGCACTGTAAACCATTATTTCAGAAAAGAAAATATGACATTTCCAGTTGCCAAGCCTTTTACACTCCTCTTTATGCTTTGGATAACATACTAATAGCTAAGTGTAAACATGTAACCTAGAGTATAATACGAATTTTTTTTTATTGGCTACAAACTAGGGGACTTCTACAGTTGGATTATGATAGCAGTTTTAACTTTGTCATTGCTGATGGACTTCTATCTTTTTAATAACTCCAAATACTTCTCTGGGCATCTTGTGACCAAGGAACTCCCTCTTCATTTTCTGCTGCCGGATAGTGTTCTAACCTAATGACGGGACCCTCCCTTCAGCTCTGCACTTAGCAATCTGTATTATCCTAATGAGACCTTAATTTCAGCAGCATATGTGTTTCCTTTCTACACAGGTATACTCTGAAGCTCTTTCTGGAACAATACTTGAAGTCTATACACACTGGGAAAGGAACAACTAGCATTTTACAACAGGCGTGACTTACTTGGCTGGTATTTTAAGGTGTACTCAGTCAGGATGCCATTGGGGTGACTTGGCGGGTCCCATTCCAAAGTGAGAGAGTCCAGGGTAGGATTGACAATTTTCAGAGAGGAGGGAGCACTGGGGACTTTTAATGAGAATGGACAGTCAGCACAATGTTTCACAGACATTCCAAAGTGAGCACCCTTGTCCGATCTACACAAGCTTGGGTTTTCGGGTTATTTTTGGCTCCAGCTGAAAATACTTTGACTCAAATCTGTGTACTCGGGATGTATTTCTTTTCTTCTATCTTTCTTTAATGCCACTTCCATTTAAATTCATTAAAATTATCTTCTTAAAATGCATAATGACTGTCTTTATAGGAACTCAAATAATCTATTTTAAAGCAGATGGCACTCAACTCCATTTGTAAAAGTGAGCCGGTTGCCAAGGGAGACCATCCATGCAGGCCTTGGAGAGGAAGCAGCTGTGTCCTGGTCCATTAAAAACTATTTCCCCCAACAAACCAGGTGTCTCCACATAGTCCCAGCACCCTGCCTGATGGGCTTTGGTCTCAGGCCAGGTTGCCCAAGTGCTGAGCCACGCTTATCCCAAGGACTCAGAGCTTTCCAAGACCTGGAGGTTAAAAAAAACAAACAAACAAGAGCCCCATATGTCGGCTCATCCCCTACCCAAGCATGGGGATGGCTCAAGGGCTTCCTGGGCAGAAGCTGGCAAATTATCAGAGGAACAGGCCTAGTCCTCCACTCCCATCTTTAAGAGGCTGGGGATGATCTCCACCAGGATGTTGCCTTCCTACCATAGTGCTAGAAACCCGCTAATGACACCACTATCCCTCCTTCACTCTAGCCGGAAACTCAAGAGTCAATTTGGAGTTCCTGTTTTTGCCATCTCCTGAGATGCTAACTCTTGGCAACTCTCTCTTTTCTCAACTATATCCATTCCCTAATCCTCTCTGCTTCTCCCCTATTCCCGTGCTTCACCTGGGCCTGCAATCATTCCTGCCATGGGCTTCTAAGCTTCAGCCTCATTGATTCTTAACCTTAGGAGATCATAGGTCTCTTCTCTGTAAAAAAACATGTTGACATGCTGTTCGGTGTTGTTTCAGGAGGTTGGTGGTATTCCTCAAATGTCTCAGAAGACCCTGAAGGGATTACCACAGTCTGAAGGCTAAGAGCTTCTGTCTCACAGGTTAGATTCATGGCATCCGAGATCATGCACCATGTGGGTCCTCTCCCGTTGTCATATCTCTTTTCTCACCTTGGATATGCATCTTGTATTTGACAAGAGCTATACTTTTTAATACCTTGGTGACTTCAGAGAAAAACATCTCCCCCCGCCTTCAGTCTTCAATCCCATTTGTCTTTTCTATGCCCCCCTGTGGCATCCAAAGGACCAGCCTTGGGTCTCTCTGATGAGAGGTTACAGTGCAAAGAGCCTTCTGCCTCAGCACCTTGAGTGCCGGGACTGCAGGCACCACCAAGCCTGATGCAAGACGTCTACCCTTGTAACTCAGGACAGCTTTATAAAAAATCATGAAAGCGTGTGAGCCAACTCCAACTCACAGAAGTATCTTCCCTTTGGGGAATTTTCTTACATCTTCCTTTCAGCACGGACACTCCCAGAGGGAGCTACCATAGCTCAGAACGCTGATGACTCAAACACATTAACAATGTTTCACACAGCCTAAATGAAGAGGAAACCTAAGGGAAAGAAGGCAGTATACGGGCCCAGCACTCTGAATTCTGTAGCTCTGTGTGGGGCCAGCAACTACACGTGGGTGACATCTTGTCATCTTGTTGTGTGCTGTGATTATTTATTATCGTGCATATAACTATTTCCTCAAGGGTGGGCCTTTTGCAGTACAAAACCTTTCGCAATATGCCACATGCTCCTTACTCCCAGAGACGCAGCCATTCCTTACCTCCCTCTGGAGTATGGAAGCCTCTGTCGCTGCTGGCTGGGCCCTCCCCTTTCCCGTTGACCACTCGGACATTGAGAACATAGTGACTGTACGGTTGCAACCCTGGCAGCATGCCGTGAGTCTTGCTGCCCTGGAAGGTGAGGATCTTCTTCTCAATGTGGCGTCTGTTTCTTTTGGACGAGTTCTGAACCTTCCAGTAGTAGATCTGCAGTGGCAAGAACCAGCATCAGGGACTCACAGAAAACCAATATGATGCCTCGCATTCACAAAACCGAAGCCCCAGAACTGGGAAGGCAGCCCAGCTGGTAAAGGTCCCCGCCATAGGAGAGCCTGTTAACCTGAGTTAGAACCCTGGAATCCACAGAAAGGCAGGAGGAGGTAACTAACGCCAGAGTTGCCCTCTGACCTCCACACGTGCACGGCTGCATGTGCAGTTCCCTCCTCACTCATCCCATGTACTTGTGGGGAGCGTACATACATGTGTACACCAGTGTTCATAGCTTTTTAAAAAAAAAAAGTTGAACTGCTGCTTTCTCAGAAAAATATCTTGGTTCATTCTACATGCAAACTTGTAAAATTGGTGGACACTGGTTCTTAGACACGAAGGACAGACGCCCACAGATAATGAGGAGACTTAAGTTCACGCGGTGAAGCTGCGCTTTACCATTTTGTTGGGGGAATATAAATGAAATGAATGAAACTGGACTCTTGGTTCTTTCAAAAATGAGAAAAGTGAGCATAAGGAAGAATTAAGTATTTTACCTGTATAAGTTTTATTGTCCATTGTTGTTACACTCATGTAGAGTTATACATGTTTAGCACAACATTTAATTTAATCCTCACCCTAGTGAGGCTTCTATTATATCTTTTTGTGGTACTGTTGAGCTCATGGGTTACTGATGGATTTTTCCAAAGCCATAATAACCCTATACTATAAGTCTTTGGTTAGTCCATTAAGCCACACTACCATCTAATTAAAAGTACTGATAAATTGCAGGCACGGGTTTGGGGGGATGAATGAAGTGTTGCATAATTTTGGTCAAATGCAAGAATTTTGCATATTACATTTTCTTGAAGGCTTCTTGGAATTTAAGGGCATTTTTCAAGATAAATCAATATATGCCAAATCTGGTCATATTAGGAATAAAAGAATACAGTGCAGTATAAAAATTATCCTCTAGGGGCCAGTGTCAAATCAAAGTAAGTGATATAGTGTATATCAGGTTCTTTGGCTGTATGGAAAAAATCTCTAGGATTAGTCTTTCTATGTTTTTTAAAATTAAGACAATTAACATTCATAAGGATGACTCAGCTATGGACTACAGAGTCTTAAGATATAATTTGTAAAATAATGTAGCCAGCACTAATAAATTTGTCCTCTGACCTCCTAGAATCAGATCGGAGATCTGAAGGCAGATTTATTACTACTGTCTATACAACTGTAAAACTAAATGCAATTTGCTAATTCTTTAAAAACCATTCTGCCTTATTTCACATGAATTATTCAGTTGGTAGAACATTCCAGGAAATGTGGGAAAACTGTGAAAGACAGATAAAACATCATTTTCTCACCCTGGACAAATGAGATTTCTAGTCAACTCTAGCTGGGTTCTTTAGGTATGGCTGGAAACGGTGAGCAAAGTCACTCGTGAATTCCCAAGTCATGAACAGAGAAGCCACATAATTTCAGCCTGAAATGATGTTCATGACAAGTGGCCCCCACCGTGGCCCTGCTACCGAGTAAAGTAGTGTTTCCCTTCACCTACCCGGTAGCCTTGTAAGTGTCCTCGGACACTCTTCAGAGGTACTGGGTCCCAGTGCACCTCTGCCAAGGTACTGTTCACCACATTGACACGCACGTTCCCAGGAGCCACCATTGGAACTAGGAACAAGACCAGAAAGGGAGGGGGGTGCCTAAAGCTGTTATTTCTTATTTCATGCAAAAATGTCACAATATTCAATAACTTTGGCTTGAAACACACTCCACACTATGCTATAGAGTCCTAAACTATGAATTGGTGATGGTTAAAAGTAGACATTTTTTTTATTCTGAATTTAAAACTCATTTATCTGACTCCATGAAAGCAACATTTTTTAAAATGCTGTAAACTTCTAGTCCCCTCATCCAGAGGTTCTGGGTTTGGAATCCAGAGCCTTCCATATGTTAGGAAAGTGATCTACCACGAAGCCATTCCCCTACCCCTGAATCACTATTGCAGAGTAGGCCATACAAAGGTGGAGAAATTAACCAAATGGTTGCTACTTCTTTTCTCTTGCTAGCCTAGGGTCTTCTGAAACAGTCTCAGTTTGCACTTCGGTAGGTTTGTCCCTCTGGCAAGTGTAGAATGGAAAGAGCGGGAGACACTTACGATCTTCTCCAGAATGGCCCATGACTGCAGCTGGCTCTGGAGCAAACCCCACGTCGTTCAGGGCTTGAACTTTGATCAGGTATGGGACAAAGGTTGGTGTGCCAGAGACAATGTATTTGGATACATTGGCCACCACCACAGAGGTCCATTCGTCATCACCATCTTTCTGACGCCAGCTCACTTTGTACTGGAGGCCGGGCCCATTCGATTCAAAACCATTCAAGGGCTACGGAGAAAACGTCAAATAGAATGACTGGACGGCCTTTTACAGGAATAGCAAATCCAATTCCCAGAGCAAAGAAAACAAACACTAGACCACGAGAATGCAAGCTATTAAATACCCACATCTTCAGGGACCTCTTCTCTGTGTTCACTTGGGATGAAATCTAAAGTTTGTTGAGAACCAAGGTTGTGAAAGCAATCCCAAAGTAGTAAATAACACATAGAGCATAGAGCACCCAAGACTGGCTCCATAGGTAAAGATGGGTGAGTCTTACAACATTTTAGTTATCTAGACTTACTGTATATATTCCTGTGTGTGTCATTGCACGTCATTGTCCACTTGGAGATGAGAACTTATGAACTGTTTCTCTATTAAAAATTTGGGTCTGTCTAGTTTATCATATATGCATATATGCATGTACATGCGTAGATTCAAGCTAGATTTTGATATTATACAAATAGTTTCATTTTAATTATTGATTTTTCATATCCAGAGCACATAGATAAGGTAAATAAGAATAATTATAATAATTTGACTCCTGGGAAGAGTTTGATGTGTGTCTTCCAAATGGCCTCTCTGATGACAATAGCTAGCATTTTCGGAGCACATACTTCTGCGAGGCATTTTAATAAGTGCGTCACAAACATCAGTTCCTTTAGCCTTACACAGCTGTATTAAGTTCTCATTGTACAGATGACTGATAGATACTTGACAGTTGGATACAATTACCAAAGCTGGGATGTTCAACTGTCCATTTTGGATGCAAAGATAGAACTTTTTAATTACTATACAACATAGCCTCCTAAATAAAGATAAATGCTTTTTTCTACATGGGCTGAAAAGGAATTCAAATACATATATTATTCTAAAACAATTCTTTCTGCTCAGTCTATAAAAGATAGAGGCAAAGCCAGGCAAAGGTGGTGCATGCTTTTAGTCTCAGCACTTGGGAGGCAGATGCAGGCAGATTTCTGTGAGTTCTAGGCCAGCCTGGCCTAGAAGAGCTAGTTCCAGGACAGCTAGGACTGTTACACACAGAAACCCTATCTTGAAAACCCAAAATAAATAAATAAATGAATAAAAGATTGAAGCAAAGGAAAGGCTTCGTGGCTCACCTTCCATGTAATTACCAAATTGTCGGGCTCTGTTCCTAGTCCTTCCACTGCCACGGGATTTTGATCTGGTTCTAGAAACAAAGCCATCACACACGAGTAAGCTTTGGCTCTCTGGAAGGAGTGGAAAACCCTTCTGTTTTATGTCAGGTCCTTGGGTTGCAGCCTTACCGGCAGCCTTGGTCAGGTATTGCTCCGATGCCTCGCTGGGCACACTCCTCCCAATGTTGTTCTCTGCCATGACTCGGAAGGAGTAGTTCACGTATGGAGACAGCTTCAATTGCGCTGTGGTCTGTGTTCCAGAAACTTCAGCCTGGTGATGCCATACCCCTGCTTCATGCATTGTATCTTCATATTCAATGATGAATTCTGGCCATCACACAACACACACCACAAACCCAAGATGGTGAATTCAGTCAACTTAAGCACAGGCTGCCAGAGATAATTCGTGGCAAGCAAGAGTAGCCAGACACAAGTGATTTTTTTTTTCAAGAAAAATCCTGTTAGGATATTGTGAGTTCAATACTTAAGGATGTGCAGAACTCAGCTTAGTTAAAACTGTTTAGACCTTACTCATATATTCTGATGGGAAATTTAAATATATGAATCACTGTAGAAAGAAGTAACTACAGAAAAACAGTTAAGGAGCTGGTCTTCACTAGGAAGATTGACGACAATCTTTTGTTTGTGACACACTCAGACCTCCTGAGAAGTGTACATTGATACACTTCTATACAGGATAATAGAGAGTATCTAAACAATTTTAAACATGCACAGCCTTTGAGGACTTGTACTTCCCACAACTGATTTTGAACAAACGTACTTACCCATGTGGTGTAAAGACACACACAAAAGAATCCACATTGCTGTATGATTTGCAGGGGAAGCAACTTATTTACAAACAAGCCAAATGCTTTCCAGTGGGGTGTATGTAGCCAAAAATGGTCCACACAGACACCGTGGAATGCTCTGCACCTGTTATAAATGAGGGTGTTCTATATGTGTGGGAACGGATGTATCTAAGTGCACCATGACACGGAACTGAGCAGGAGAGTGAAGAGCACGCACTGAATGCTACCCCTGTTTAACAGGATAAAGACCTGCTGGAGAAGACACAAGCAGATGGGCATGGATTTTCTGTTAGAAGGTGCACACTCATTGAGAGTGCTGTGGTCTGAGGAGCTTACAGACATGAATGGGAAGAAGACACTTTTTAGAGGGTACAGTCTATTCTGCTAGGATGCTGTGGTGTACCATGTTTTTTACCTTTATGAAAAATAAGGTATTTAGGCATATCACATGCTGCATGAAGTTGGCTTGAGGTACTTAACATTTTCTGCATGATGTTGCTGTGTCTTATTGTGATAATGCCATGCTTCTGCCAAGTATTTTTGAATATATCTCAGTGCTGTGGTTCCTTCCACACCTCAAAATACAATTGTGAGGCACTCCCTGCCCTGCTAAAATATTAGCCATGCTGGGGCTACAAGAAGTCTTAGGTGGGTGGGAAGAACCTGTCCAGTCCACAGACTACAAAGCTACTGAAGTGAAGTCCAGTGGGGCTGACAGTGAGCACTTATCTCCTGAGGCTGAGTGCCAGCCTGGACCGAAGGAGCAAGTGAGAGGTGTCCATAGGCTCCTTACCGTCCCCCTCTGGGCTTGTGACTAACCAGTCTGCAGCATCCTGTGACCCAGTAGGAAGCTGCTACTGAGCTGCATCCTTCCTAGTTTTCCTTTCCATCTTTTATGCCCTTTCTTTGTCCTTCTGACTATTGCTACTCCACTGTATTCAATTTTATTTGGTCCTCTTGAAATCAGCTAATTTTATTTTCAAATGTTCTCTGTATTGGAAGTTTATACTTCCTTTCCAATCTCTCACCGTTTGTTCCCGTTATAGTGTTCCTTTTCATTTCTCCTCTTTTTTTAAAACCCAGCTTTAATTTTCTCCTTTCCATTCTTCCATCCTTGACCGCATTCATTTGACACTTCCACTGTGACTTGATAACTTTATCAAGCACTGCACATTTATTTTGCCATTTTGCAGTGGGTTTTAATACTTTCAGTGTATTTCCTGTACATTTTGATGCTGTTGCTGAAAGTCTGCTGTCTACCCTCTGAGCGGTAGTGGCTGTACAAACTTAATCCCCCATGTGAAACTAAAAGAGACTTTCACTCAACGGAATCACCAATGGCAACAGAGGCTATTGCCACTCTGCTGGAAGGTGCAATAAATCAACATAGCTATAATTTTGGAATGATCTGGAAGAGCAGTTGGTCTTCCTGAAGCCCACACTTGAAGATAACAATGTATTTCAGGTTCATGACTGACTACGGCTGCTCTCTTGGGTATCTCTGTAGTTTTACAATCAAGCTTCGAAGCCTATCTTCTGCTGAGTTAATGAATGTCTTTGTATCTGCAGGCCTTGTCTCTCATCTTATTTTATTCCCTCTGCCAAAGTCATCAAAGTGAGGCTCTGCATTGTTGAACGTGTCATTTTGTAGCAAAGGGCAATGGGGGAAAATCCACTGACTGGAAGTTAAGGACCTGTTGTGTAGGAGCAGTTCTCTCACAAACTGTAGGTCTGTAATAGAGCACCAAGATGTTTCCCAGCGTCTAGACTGGTCTCTCAGCACCTCCTAGAAGCAGAGGACTAAATGAATGACTAACAAGATGCATCTCTCTACTGACTCTGTGCTGGGTAGTTTTATGTCAACTTGACACAAGCCAGAGTCATCAGGGAGGAGGGAGCCTCATTGAGAAAATGCCTCTATGACAACAGGCTGTAGCCAGGCCTGTAGGGAATTTTCTTAATTAGTGATTGATGGGGAGGGCTCAGCCCATTGTGGATGATGCCATCCTTGGATTGGTGATTCTGTGTTCTATAAGAAAGCAGGCTGAACAAGCCATGGAGGAGCAAGCCAGCAAGCAGCATCCCTCCATGGCCTCTCTGTCAGTTCCTGCCTCCAGGTCCAATGATGAACAGTTATGAGGAAATATAAGGCAAACAAATCATTTTCTCCCCAAGTTGCTTTTGGTCATGGTTTTCCATTGCAGCAGTGGTAATTCTAACTTAGGCAGTGGCAGACATAGAAGCTGATTCTTCACAGTCTTAAAAACAAATGAGAGTGTGTTTGCTTAACTAACATTTTCAGGCGTTAATTAATTGTGCCGGAAGCTAGAGCCAGGAACAACTCCGTTGAGGAAGGGCATCATACTTTGGTTCTTACAGCAGTAATGAAGAGACTGCCAGTAAATGCCTTTGGAAGAAATTACAACAGTATATCCTAAACTTGTTCTGGATACGGCTTCAGGAATGGCCATTAGGTTTACCAAGTATAAAGCAAAAACACCACATACTTGTAATGGGGCTATTGTTGTCATCGCCTGGGGTCCATGTCAGCTGAACGCTTTTGTCAAGTTGATTGGTCAATTCTAAATCAAAGGGAGGATTCGGTACATCTGGAAAGCAAACACACGCAAATGGCTCACTGTCTTTTTCAAAGGAAGTTTTCTTCTTTCTTTGTGATGCTACGCACAGAGGGACGCCTTAGAGACACATCACTCTTATTGGTCAGTGAGCATGCAATGGAAAGGAAAGAGACACAGCTGAGGTTGCTGAGAACGCTGCACACCCAAGCCAACCCATCATGGAGCTCTGTTGGCTTGCTTTTTCAAGATATACAAAATCGTTGTTTGCCAAATCCACTGAGGCAGTGCAAGGGTCCTCGGCACACTCAGAAAGGAGCACAGGCGGAAATGACATCAAAGCTTTATTTCAGACAACACAAGGGAACCAGAACAGTCAAGGATGAGGGACAAATGTGAGCAAGCGGCATGCGCTGTTCAGAGGCTTCTCAGCATCCTGAGGCTAGGTGGGAAATGGATCTGGAGGTAGCTAAGGACTGTTTTTAGGGTAGGGAGCTCTTCGAATGCACAGACACATTGCATGTCTCGACAGCTGTTGGGACAGAGGTCACCGAGAAACACAATGAGCAAAACAGTCTAACCTTACAATACACTATAAGGTTTTAAGAAATAATTGACTATGGCAAATAAAGCCCATGATAACTGACAGCCATTTTCCTTAAAGAAATATAATGATGGGACAGAGAAGAGAAAGCGATGTTCACAAGGGTGAAATTATTTAACAGAAGACAGAAAAAGAAGACTCATTAGTTTACCGTAAATGGGGGCTGGAGTTGGAGTAGGAGCTAGAAAGGACATTAATATAAAGGATTTTAATCAAAATTAGTGATGGAAACACGGAAGAAGACAAAAGCAACCCAGTATTTTCTTTTAATTAAACTCTCTACTTAGCTTAATGTGAGGTGTGCACTGACAGCAGGGTGGTGACAATTTAGGAATACCCCCCCCATTCTATATTAGAGGTTACTTCCTTAATTTTCTTAAAAAATGTTGCTTATATGAACATCCCCCATTTTGTCAGAGAGCATATTTATATGGAAATTGTCTCCTGAAACACCCACCCTTGCAGTTCTGAAACAACAGCAAACAAATGTTCAACACCTGGAATGTTCTTCAACTCCTAATACAGATGACCTGACTGTGTTTGTTTTTGCTCTTACCGACAACCCTCAGCACAGCGCTGGCAGAGACGCTGTCCAGTGTCGTGTTGGCCGCGCACGTGTAGGTCCCGCCATCATTGTCACTGACATCAGTTACCACCAGATGATCCTTGTCTACGGAGAATCTGTAAACAGAACGCACGTACAGCAGTTGGAAGACGACAGCCTTCCCAGCAGGCAAGGGTCTCTGAGAACTTGATAAAGGAGAAAGATAAACACTTCCACAATTAGAGTGAACCCCTACATATCACATTAGTAATAAACCTGGAAAACATTTGAGCTGGACGGATATTAACTCTAACAGGGTTTGTCAGGCTGATGGAGCAGCCCTCTTGGGGTCGGGACAAAAATCATATGGTATACCATAAATCCAAAAGTCCAATTGCTGTATGCCAATTAATTTTTTAATTGATCAACGTTACTGCTTGCGTCCTGAGGTGTAATGGGTGGCTCCATGTTTTCCCCAACTAGAGTGCTTCAGTCAGGCTTCTGTGCTTATTTCGTTCTGCTCAATTTCCATCAGAGTGCAGAATTTTTAAAAAAGTTACTATTTGTGGCAGAAGTGTGCTGTTCCTGTTTACCTCACATGTTTAAAGGTTACCATTACAGAAACTAAGTGAAAAGCATTGGGGGCTTTCCTGTCACTAGATCAGCAATCTTCACTAAGAGATTTTAGAGGTTGCTTGCATCATGCATGCAGCATTAATGTTTGGTCCCAAGGAGGCTACATAATCTATCTTCTAAGTAATTCTTAGTCAAACCACAGCTGATCTAGCCGATGGTCATTTCTTCATATTCTCTTCTCTTTACTACCTAGATTTCACATAGAAAATTGACCAGGTGGAAACTTGTACTTTGGACACATGGAAAGAAAGGCCATGATGTTGTAGTGGGGTCATTATCAAGCAATAGGGTACCATTTAGTTATTCCAGGTTTAGGTCAGAGCAATGAAACCACAGAAACCATCTCCATCAGAACAAAGCATTCCTAGCACTGGGTATCACTTGTGTCCACTCTAATGGCTAAAATCACGCATGCAGCTGAATTCCTAGGTCACCAAACTGAAGGCCTCAGGTGGAAAAACGCCGTGATCTTCCTTCTATTCCAAGCTACAGGACTGAATGCACCCCGTTAAATGGTTCACTTGATTTTGATTTTCTTTTCCCTCTGCAGGTGTTAGGTTAGAAGGGAAAAAAGTAATTCAATATCCAAATTCAAAACCTATAATCTTTAAAACACTGGCAGAGTCAGGTGCATTCCTGACTCTGGAGCTCGGATATCAGCGTGTGTGTGGAGTGCAGAAGAAAACATCTGCTGAGACTTCACCACTCAAATTATGCAACCGCGGTTGTTGTCCAAAATCGGGAGGGCGTTTTCCACCCCGATTTCACAGGAGATCAGCACACAAAGACCCGCATTCTCAGGCTCTTCTTTCAAACGCTCAGTGCCCTTTCAGTTCTAAGCATTTACGGTAAGAGGAAAAGGCTGATCTCATAATTTTGCAGACAGCTGACTTCAGACACTGAAAGCATGGTGTCAGGGGCCTTTTGACACAAGAGCAGTCTCCAGAGAGAAGGAAGAGGGACGAGAGCCTCTTGAAATAAATACCTTTCCTCATTGGGCAGCTCTCCATGGTCCTTCAACCACATGATGGTGGGGATTAAGGTATGGTCGTGTTTCACTTTGCATTCAAAGGACACTTTGCTCCCCCTCTGCACAACCGCATGTTCGGGTTGCTTAATGATCCTGGTTGGATCTAAAATTCAAAGTTTTGGTTATCCATTTTGGCAAAGCAAAGAATTTGCTCTGTGTCATATAACACTTGAAAATGCTCATCAACTCTGTCTTACCTTTGATTTCCAAGTGAACTTCGTTCTTTGCCATCCCTAATTTGTTTCTTGCCACACAAGTATACGTCCCCATACTATCCTTTTGGGCCACAGGAATTTCTAATGTTCCATTATCATGTAAAACATAAATGTCTTCGTGAAGGGCGCTTCCTTTGGTTCCTTTAAACCTTCGTTACAAAAGTTACAAGCATGAGGATAAAACACAGCAGAATGTGGTCTGCAGCAAGGGTCAAGGCCAGCGACATTTGGAAAGACTACAGAGATGAGATTCCGCTTATTTGTAAAGTGGGGACGAAAACACCTGTTGAGGGTTCACTTTTCAAGTTACAAAATCAAAAACGTTGCCCAAAACCTGAAGGGTTTTCCATAAGCACACTTCTGACATGTCAGAAGAAAGGAAAAGAAAACACACAAAACGGCAGAATACAGAAATAAGTGGAGTCTGCAGAATTAGAAAACCAAAATATGTGTTGCAACTTTTATGAGATACCTAATTTAATAAAGATATTACTTATTTTATCCTTAAGGAGATGATACAATAGGGAAAAGTAATATTATATTTTCATACATTTTTTTTCTCCCATTGACCAAATTTTAAAGACATTTTGATTTCAAGGCTCAGGATGATACTCTGAAAGTTCGACTAGCAAATGTCCAGGCAGTGGAAAGAAAACACATATGTGATGTGGGCGTAGAGACAGATGAAAAGGATCAGACGAAGTCAGTCTGAGTTGTCCCTCTCAGCACCTTCACTAGGACGTCCATCCATCCACGTTTCTCTTCTCTGAGTTACGGTTGGGCCTGGAGTGACTTCTCTTTAATCCTTCACCGGCTGTCAATCTCATCCCAGTAGCGGATGGTCGATACGTACCTGCTCTAATTGTAATCCACACACTCTCAGCAGCTGCCCATCCTCCTCCTGTCCTGTCCAGCTCTTCTAAAGTAAGCAGCTGAAGGACACCTACCAGGACTGGTATGTGAACATGGATGGACAGAGAGGAGGTGGGGGGACACAGGAGCTCTACTGGGCTAATAAAGCTCCAAGCGGCAAGTCCTCTCTCAGCCCACGCAACCTCTGTTCCAGCTCCCTCCTGCTTTTAGATTTGTTTTCTTATTTTACGTAAATGAGCATTTTGCTCAGCTATAGAAATGTGTACTACATGCATGCCTGGTGCCCCGGGAAGTCAGAAATGGGTATAGAATCCCCTGGCACTGGAGTTACAGAGAGTTGAGAGCCACCCAGTTGGTGTTGGGAACCAAACCTAGTTCCTTTACAAGAGCAACAAGTATTCCTAAGCACTGAGCCAACTCTCCATCCCCAATCCCATGCTACTTTATTATCAGGAGCATGCTTCCTAACCAGTCCTTCAGCCACTATTCCAGTTCCAGGTAATGTTCATGGCATTGTGAAATATGGCAGCCTTAAATATTAAAAATCATTTCCATACAGTTTTAGAGTTCATAGAGCATTCTGGTAGTATGCTTGCTACATATGTGCAAGTGTTTATTATACCCACTGAGTGGATAGTTAATAAATATTTAAGAAAGAGTAAATAAATTTAGTTAACTAGTAATGTGATGAATTGTGTATTGCAGTTTTCCTGTTTGTTTTGTGAGACTAAAACCAGACATAGTTAGAATTACAAATCAAAAGAAAAAAAAGGCAGCTACTACTTACCACTCAATGGTAGGCAGAGGAGACCCAAAGAAGGCACAGTCTAAGAAAGCAGGTCTGTTTGCGATGACCTGGTACAGTATGTTTGCAGATGTGAGAATTCGAGGTGGTTCAGCTAAAACATTTTAGAAAGGTATAGTAAATACTAAACACATATTAAGTTTGCAGTGTCCTTATCCATTTTGTTTTAAGATCATGAAAGTCTGTGATAAAATATAACCCACATGTCTTTTCCCATATGTTCTGTATCTAGTAGTCACTCAAGACAGAAGAAACACCCCCTGCGTCATGCTCAACATGCTACCCAGGGGTTACTCAATTACTGATTTGCTTATTTGTGTTTCTTATGCTGGTCAATGAAGGATTCAATTATATTTATCTTATGACACTGGTTATCTTTCAGTGAAAATGCATTTATTTAATCATTTTATCCACAGCAGTCTCTGTCAAAAAATTATGCCATGGCTGAACGACTGACCTATCATCACTCTAGTGGGCAGGGATGTTCGGGACACATGAAGAAGGCAGGGAAAAACCAGGTGGGAAGTGTGGTTTCTGGAAAACAGAGGGGACTAAAAAGCCTTTTACAGCCAAGGAAGCAACAGAACAAAGAGAAAAAACATAGACTGGGAGAAGGTAGCTGCTCACATATGCCCGATGTAAGACTAAGACACAAAATATATAAGAAACTCAAAGAGCTCAGTAGTCCCAGAAACCAAACTGGTTTTTAAACTGAACAAAGATCCAAATACACATTTCTCAAAAGAGGACATACAAATGGCCAACAGAAATGTGAAAAAATGGTAACTATACTAATTATCAAGAGAAACACAAACTTCACTATGAATCACTAACACCTGCTAGGATGCCTGTTTTCAAAGAGACATAAATGCTCTCTTTCAGCCTTGTAAAGAAGGGGAGCTGAGGCTGGAGAGATGACTCAGCAGTTAAGAGCACTGCTGTTCTTTCAGAGGACATAAGTTCAGTTCCCAGCCCCCATGGCAAGGGGCTCACACCTGCTGTAACCCCAGATCCAGGGGATTGGATGCCCCTTTCTGACATCTTCAGACTGCCACACAGATGTAGCAGGCACCCACACAGATTCACAGACATAAATATAAATAAAAATTGCTTTAAAATATCTCATATCTGTCATACTGATGAACCTGAAAGACATTGTGTGAAACAAAACAAGCCAGACTCAAAATAACACATACTTGTATTGATCTTACTGAAATATGAAACCTGAAGATGTTGAATTCATAGAAAGAAAGCATGAGAAGAAACTCAGATGTCAAAGCTGCTTCCTCAGCATCCCCCAATACCTCAATTGCTGAGCTTCTGGGGGACTAATGGCCCTTCCTTTATATATGAAGAAAAATGCCAAATATCAGTTGGCTTTCTTATATTAGCTTTGTTTGGAAAAGGAAAACAGTATCTGAAAGAATTCAAGTATAATTTCTGCTACCACAAGAACAATACTTACATAAAATTTTAAAATGTAGCTTTTGGTAATGTTACTCAATATGAGAGATGTAATGCTCACATAAGCCAACCATTCCGGAATATGCCCAAGTACATCACAGTTCCTTACAGCTCTTTGAGCATATTTTTACACATGAAACAATGATTATCTGTGACTTGGATAAGAACTAAACATTATAATCAACCATTTAGTTTTTCTTATAGGAATTGTGGCATTTTTGAACTTGTCCATTTCTGTGGTGCTAAACGAGAATGGCTCCATAGATTCGTATATTTGAATGTTTGGTTTGCAGTTGGTGGAACTGTTTGGGAAGGATTAGGAGGTGTGGTCTTGTTCAAGGAGGTGTGTCACTGGGGTTTTTGAGGTTTCAAAAGTCCACACCATTCCAGTTAACTCTCTCTCTCTCTCTCTCTCTCTCTCTCTCTCTCTCTCTCTCTCACACACACACACACACACACACACACATCATTGTTATCTCAACATGTAAGCTCTCAGTTATTTCTCCAGCACCATGCCTATCTGCCTGCTGCCATGATCTCCACCATAGGGATCATGGACTTTACTACCCTCTGGAACTATATGCCTCAAATTAAATAAATGCTATCTTTTATAAGTTGCCTTAGTCAAGGTGCTTTGTCACAGCAATAGAACAGTAACTAAAAAGTGTGTAAGGATGGAAGAGTGGGCATACTCACTGCTCATGCAAACAAACACTACTTTTATTTTGAAGGTTTTAAAAGTCTACCCACCAGTGAACAGCCTATTCCTGCAGCAAAGAATCTGTCATATAAAACCTGTATGAAGGAACTGCAAGATCAAACCAAAATGGTCCTTAAGGCAATGCTCTACACACTTAACCTTCCCTGCACTGCCCATTTCTCTAGTGCTGACTTTGTAATCACTAGCCCAAGTTTTTTTGTTTTTTTTTTTTTAAATTCCAGTTTCCTTTCCATTTAAGTTCTCTCAATACAGCACTATTGTCTGCTAGGTTGGTGAACTCACTAGATGACACCAGTCCATCAAGACCAGGAAGATTTGTTTTGTCTTCATCTCACATAACCTCTCAAAAGTCTTTGGCACACATTTGTTAAGTTTAGTTTCTAGTACCATTTATGGTGGTTCTCACCTGCTGGTAATTTCAGTTCTAGGGGATTTGAAACACTCTTCTGACCTCCAAGGACACCAAGAGACAAAGTACTCATATACATAAAATGAAGAACAAGGTTTTCAAGAAATTTACATTACAGTAGTTTACTTTCTTTTGATGTGTCATCTGAACAATGTAAACTTTATCGACTGTGTAACATGATTGTACATTTATCACTGAACTCAGCAATGTGGACAAACCAATTCTTTTCTAAATATCTTGTGCTAACTGAAAGACTGAAGGCCAAATTGTATGAATAAATAAATCATTGAACTGTTTTTCTAAAAAAAAAAAAAAAAAAAAAAAGATTTGTATCTTATCTACCCTTGTATATTCTCTGTAGCTTGAAATACTATGCACTGCAAAGGCATAATGCATTTTCGATGAACAAGTAGAAAACATTAGCAGTCATTAATTTAACTTAATAATACAGGGAGAACTTACCAAGCACATTTACAAATGCATTTGCTAGCAAATATCCATATTCATTAGAGGCATTGCACTGATAAACCGCACTCAATCTTTCTTGAACATTTGAAAAAATAATAGTATCACCATCTATTTTTCTGCTGGGATCATCAGGAGCAACTGTTTGAATGTAAAAAAAGAAAATATAAGTTTCTTGCTGCTTAAAAGATATATATTAAATGGATAAATCTTGAGATCTAAATTACCTAAACAGAAAGGAAATACAAGCTAATCTACATAAGTACAAAGAATCCAAGTAGAGTTTAGTTAACACACACATGCAGGCAAATACGCACAATGTTCATTTAGCCTTGAGTGGATGGATTGATCTTCAACAATGAAGACTGCTTTGAGAGATGCAGAAAGCAAGCCCAAGTTGGGCAAGATGAACAAATTCGGGTGGGGGGGGGAACCACCATGATGTTTATAAAAAAGCCAGCTATTTAAAAGGAGGGAAGTTTATTATCAACAAATGGAGAAATGTGCTGGCTTGTTCAAACCTGCCGTCTTCGAGGACCTATTCTGGAAACCAATAGATGTATAAACAGAGGCATGCCTAGAGAACACGTTTGTCAGGAACATGAGGATATCCACTTTCCTGTTGTGCCCACATCTGGGGCTGAAGGAGAAATCAGTTGTATAAAATTTCTCTTAAAGACCCTTTCAGCCAAATCCCTCAAGTACTTAAAACGTGTTAAGATCGGAATTGATCCATGCTGAAGCTGGGTGAAACTGGCTGCGTAATGCAGTACGTGAGAATTTAGTCCAAAGCAAGGCAAACCATGGACAAGCGTTGTGCTGTGATACAGGAATTTCCTTTCAAATGCTAACCCCTAGACCATGTGCCCACATTATTTTAAGGGAACATTGTTTTAGCATGCTGACCAAAACCAAAGTAAATAACAGTATTCCTCCCTCTGAAACTGCACATGGCAACCATAACTTTGCTTTCATTCAAAACATATTTCTTTTTCTATGGTGACCAGAAAAGGTTGTGTATCACTATAATGACTCTTCATTATCACTTTGAAATAAAAGTATCTGGCTCACCTGAGGCTTATTAATTCACTTTAATGAAAATAAATCCAGCTATAGCTACTCTCCTTTGTTTTATGTGCCCAAGCATTGTGCTCATTCATTCTGTAACAGTTTTTACTAATACAATTTATAGCAAATCTACAACTTTGGAACAACACAAAATTCTCAGCCTCATCAGATTGGAAGTCTGATGAGGATCGCACCAAAGTAAAGTCCCAGTCCCAGGAAAGCCTGCTTCTTCTTTGGGTTGCAGAGGAATCCACTTCTTGGTCCCGTCTGTTTTCTGGAGGATTCCTAATTTATTAGTCCATATTTTCCCTTTTTTTCCTAGCATCACCATCAGTGTCATTTTTTTCTGTTCATTCTTCCATAATCAGGTTTTTGCCTGACCAAAGCCCAGAGAAGCATAACACCTTTGAGGATTCATGTTATGAAACTGGGACCCAAGCAGATTCATCAGAATCCCCAAATTAGAAAACTCCTAACCACATGTACAAAGACCCCCTTTGCTCTGTAAGGTGACATGTTCACCGGTTCCAAGGATTGAGATGCAGACATATTTGTGAGACCTTATTGTAACTACTGTACATTTTGACTATTGTACCTAGAAGCTAACAGTTATTTAGATGTTCCAGATGAGAATAATCTAACAACAAATCATAAGTTGATCTAGAGGACAAGTTCTTACCATCCAAGGATTTTTAAAACTTCAACTAGCTCCCAGGGAGTAACTAATGCTTTTATTCCTGAAGAAGTATGATAGGTAGTTTAAACTTAGTTTCTAAACACTAATGTTACAAAATTCGTGTCCAAAAGTTTGGCAACAATCAATGGCTGAAGTGTAGAATCATCTTAGACACATTTTGTTCTGCTATTAATAGGGTATGTCAAGATTCTTTGAATTGACTCCTTAACTCACATTTGTAATTTCTGATTAAAATTTCCTTAAGAAAAACATTCTTCCCAACAGAATACAAATAGAAGCCATAATTTCTTTAACAGGATATAGATTGTATCAATAAATAACAGCAGAGGACATATTTTACATTATCCCAGGAAGTGATATACAAGTATAGCCAACAGTCATGGATCTGAGAGTGTGGTACACAGCAGCGAAGCCCTTGTTTCTTATCCTGGATTGCAAACCTTGTATTATCGGGGCTTTCTGATGGGCACACTTGAAGGAATGTTCATCTACTGCTTTAACCAGGCAGGGTAGAACACAGAGCAGCACCCCTGGCTACTCTTGCTCTGTGGATTATTCTAAGCAAATGGACCTAGTACTTGGACAATGATAGGGCTGTCTAGGGGGCATTTGGAACCCATTCTGACTGCACCTCTGAAGGTGTGCAAGGCAATGAAGAACAGTAGTGAGCATGACACACTGTCAGAGCACAGAGCCAAAACTCTTAGCACGGGAAACAGACCACAGGATGAGACCACAATTTCCCCAAGTGGAGATGCATCAACCCACAAGCAAAACACCCTGTAGCCCCAGGTTTCACTTGTGTTCAGGACCAAAGGCATTTGACTATAGCCACCTCATTTGTGCTCAATGGAGTGGTTTTCAGATACTTATTTCTGGCATAATAATTGGGACTGAAACAAACTTGGACCTGAGTAGGCAGCTCTCTTCGTGAAGATCTGCATTATGTTTTCTTTCTGCAATTATTCAAGAGAAGCAAGTGAGCCTAGACACAGCAGCAACATATGGTGGCTCAGTTGGTATCTGGGCACGAAATAGAGTCACTGCTGCAGAGCCATTGGCAACCTTTGGATGTTGTGTTCTGGCTACTGGATGGGAAGAACTCGCCAACTAGCAAACTCAAATCGTCTAAAGGAAAACTAATTAATTTCTAGGAACGACCAACATCATTTGCCATAAATAAGCACCAAAGAAAGAAATGTAAGCATATACATCCACATCTATAACTTTAAGCCCCAAGGGTGAGTTTCTAAAAGTGGTGTGACAGCCTCCAGAAAACTTATAAAAAAATATATTTCTCCTGGAAGGAATGGCAAAGACTGTAAACTTTTCCAATTTTGGAATACGAAAATTAAAAAAATGATGTCTTATAAGTACTGAGTACTTTCAATCTCTAAAATGTTTTTATATCAATTGCATAATTTTACGTTTAGAATGATTACATAACTTCTTTTAAGAACTTCATGAAATAGGTCAACAGATAATATTAAATACATTTTAGATATGAAAATTATAGACAGGAGCATTTAATATTCTGTTTAATTATAGTAAATTCAGACTAATTTAATAGTTTGAAATTAATGTTCTAGATTTCTGGTTTTAGTCGACTTTATAAATATTTCCTGGAGTATGAACAGTTCAACATGAAGCAAAGCCAAGCTTTGGCGAAGAGCTGAATTTCCCTTCTCCTGGCTATTTTATCCTAACAGGTCCTGCCAACAGAGCCCTTCACCTCCCAGAGAGGGGGATGGGAGCAGCTTTGACGGGATCTCGAGAATATTCTGGGTTAAGCCTCCATTCTGCTAGCTGAATTCATGTATTACTCAAACACAACTTGTAATTGTACTAGGAGGAGATCCGTTCTTTCTTACCAAGTTGGTTCTTTTCTCTCCTCAAATCTGAGGAGCCTTTTAACAAAGGGTGAGACTTTTATGTGTTCCAGGACAAAGCAAGTTATAGACTCTCTCACTACCTCCTGGGACAGAAACAGGGATTGTGGGGTGTTCAGAATCTCGGCCTTGGGGACCACTAACAGGGATGGCACAGGCTCTGGTGCAGAAGGTAAAGGGGAGGAAGAGGAATGGAGGGACACTTGCTCTCTAGCAGAGCCAGGAAATGCTCTTGCTGCCAGTTATAAGACAAGACATTTTCTCTTTCTGGTCCCAAGTTCAACTTCACACTCTCTCAAGCACTCCCGGTCATATCTGAGGTCTCCTGTGGGTCTCGTGTAGCTACATAATTTCTGACCACTATAGACTGTTGAAAAATATTTTGGGTGTTTCAGGGGCGAATTCTGTATTTAATGTACTTGTTTGTGTCAAGGAAGTTTTAAGTACTCGGCTGACCTAAATGAGACGTAGTTTGAGAAGTCAGTGAGAGATGCACCCAGGTGCTTTGGAGTTAATCCTATCAGTTTTATAAAGCTGTAGCTTCCAGGTCTGAAGGCAAGCTCAAAATCAACACCACATTTTGCCAGCAGAACCTAGTCTAACCTCCATCTCACCCTGATATTCCTAAGTTTGCAGTTTGGAGCTTTTGAGGTGGTCAGAGTCCTTGAATGCTTGTCAACAAGTCAGGGGAGGCAGGCTGTGTGTCTGGTTGGTCATTGTGGTCCCTGACTGTGCCTCTGCTGGTTGGTATAGGTTGACAGACCTGAGGCCCCTGACAGGGGTGCTGCTGATGCCCTCAACAATGCTACCGCAGAAGCACAGCTGTCCCTCGACCCTTCGCCCCAGCACCTGCTGGTCCACCTAGCATTTCGGCCGTCTCTTGGATGGAAGGTGTGCCAGCTAGGCAGCTTGGGCCTCAGGCCAACTTCTGAAGCCCATGCTGGACCCCCTGTGCTGGGCTCTGTTGAGGGTGTGTGATCCTCGGGGTTCAGTCGGGATCCTCGGGGTTCAGTCAGTGTCACCACGCTGTGTGGTTTTCTCTTTTTCTGCCTCAGCATCTCTCCATTGTCTTCCATGGCCTGGTACTGCTGGATGCGCTACTCAACAAACTACAGATGAGGGGCAAGCACCAGGCCTGTTTCCAGAACAGTCCACAAGCCTCAAACGCAGTCTTGTTGAAGTTCATGGTCAACCACTAAGTGTAAAGGAGAGTGGCATATACCTCTTCAGGCCTCTACTGATTTTTTTTTTGCTTGGCTTCGCGGGCTTTATTCTCTTACCTAACTCTTCAATATGGATTAGAAGACGTCAGTATGCATCAGGGCACATCTCTTTGCACTTAGCTGTTTATAATTGATTTTTCATTCAAAGACGACACTCAACAGAGGCTGTCCAGAAACTAGCTGATGACGGCTAGGAATGGCTCAGTGAAAGAAACATGCAGGGTCCCCGCCTGCTCATCACCGTCAGTTATGAAGATGTCCATAAAACGTACCTAGCACTTTCGGCCTGGCCACTCTCAAAAAAGCATCACATCATATCTCTCTGAGGGAGACAACAGCTGCTTGTAGCTCCCCAGAGCAGCAGCCCTTCCTAGAGCAGATGGGTGGACAAAGCCCCATGCTGGGCCACCCTGCAGTACATAGTTTCCCTCCCTGAATGCCCACCAGAGAAGCTTCTCTGAGCTGCACACATCTGAGTTGGGGCACCCTGGATCTGGAAGAGTTGTGCAATTTCTATCATATCTGTGTGACATCCTTGCTTCCTTTTCAAGGAAACATACTTTTGGGATAAAAAAAAGAAAAGAAAAGAAAAGAAAAGAAAAGAAAAGAAAAGAAAAGAAAAAAAGAACTTACTTTGACTCTGATTTGACAGATTTTATTCTTACTCTTTTTGTTTGGGACCTAATTGGACGATTTGGGGGTCAAAGTAGAGGGGCCTAATTTGTCTCCCTGAGATAACTGCCCTCTCCAAACACCCCCTCTTCTAGTTTTAACCACAAAGAGGCGTGCATGTGGAGGCGTACTCAAAGCTCATAATGCAACTATTAATAGGGCTCAAGGACCCCCAGGTGCTGCTATGCTGGCGTTGCCCTGCAAAGCTTGGTTGTTCTGCAAAGCTTGGTTGTCCTGCAAATGTTGGTCGCCTCCTCAAGTTTATATTCTGAATCCCAATCCCAAGGTGGTCCTATTCCTAGGTCACAGGGTTCTTATCTCACAAATATGGTCAGTGCCCCTTGACAAAAGACTTGAGGGAGACTGTCCCCACTGTCACTGCACATTCACAGAGGAAGAACCAGCACTAGAAGTCACCAGGTGCCTTCAACCCGGATTTTCTAGTCTCCAGCACAGGGAGCAATAATTTTCTGTTTATAAATTATCTAGCCCAAGGTACTTTGTTATGGCAGAAAAACAGAGTAAGACAGCCAAATAGGAAGGATGATAAACTGATCAGGAAAAAAGATCAGCTTCATTACTTAATTTCTCAATTTCCCCCGCTTAGCACTGTATCCTGACTGCCAAGCCCTGGAGTTTCTCTCTTCAACAGTCCCTGGCTCAAACACTTTTCCTGCTGAGTGGTTAGATGGATATTCCCTCCCACTTGTCTGTTCTTGCTGAGCCTAAATCTCAGGAGCACATTTAATCTTCTGTAAATCACGAAGAGCCTCTGAGCTGGAAGAAAGCAAACCTTTGGATGCAGAAATGCTGAGTATTCAATATGGCTACTACTGTTCTATATGCATTTCTAAGAAAACCATAATTGTGCTGTAAAACCTCTTTTAGTTCTGGGCTTTCTTTCACTCTCTCAGTTGTCACCATAATCCCCTGGGAGTGACAGTGGCTCCTTGATATAGAACCACGAGGTAAGATTTGTGGCGTTTCCTCCTCTGATCATGATTAAAATTGGAGTATGAATATCAGTACCGATTACTGGCCTCATTAGCCTCGGGTTTTTTTTTCCAAGAACTTATTTCCTTTTGCAGTAAACACAAGCTGTTTCTGTCCAAGTATCTGAGAACTACTGTGCTCGTGGCGCAAGCAAACTCCCAATAAATACTCCAGCAAACACTCGTGGCACAGGGTGCGATTACTCAGACCATGGCTGCCAGGCCAGGGGATGAAGGGCACGCTGCCATTCCTCATAGTAATAGCAAGTTGACTAGCCATCCGTCCCACAGGAGGACTCAGTTTAGGAAAGTCAGTTCAAAGGACCTTTGGGTTATGTGGAAGTAGAAGTGATATTTGATTTTCAGTTGGAGATAATCAGGAGCAGGTTTTTCTCTAAGTAGGAACGTATCTTTATTAAGTATAGAGGATCTTTGAATCTGGCCTTGATAACGACTAGGAAGTGAGCCTGAGGCTGAGATTGGGTTTGAAGCAGAAACAGACTTTGTCTATTCTCTCTCTCTCTCTCTCTCTCTCTCTCTCTCTCTCTCTCTCTCTCTCCCCCCTCTCTCTCTCTTTCTCCATCTAAAAGGAAGTCTGAATTGCAAGACGTGAGAAATAAGTGTTCTAAGACCTCCCACTGTGGAGGTCAGGAGGAAAAGGTAGCTGGCTGCTCTCTGTATGACCATGGCTTAGGAAGAAGTCCAGAAGAAATGAGACAAGATTCCAATTCTTATTTTTTTTCTTTGCCATAATTCTCTTCTCATATCCCAATCCTCTAATCAAGTTTTATAAAATGAGCCTTTACTATGACTTGGAGGATTCAGGCAAAGCTTCTGGCTACACTTCAATGGGTCACTGTGGGCAGCAGCACTGTGGTAGCTTGGAAAGCGGCTAATGAAAACGGGCTAGAAGTGAACCTGCAGAATGCAGGCGGATGCTAACAAACACAGCCACTGCCCTAATGTCTTTCTCAGGGATCTCTGGAGCAGACCTCACAATACTCAAGGAGGGCAAAGTGAAAGAAGGCTGAGCATCCTGCAGAAGCTCAGGACCCTGTCCTTCGGGTAGCCAGTGAGACACGACCCCTGAAGACTAGAAAACGTGGAGGACACCTGGGCTTTCCCCAAGACTGAAAACTAAGGCCAGACCAGTGTTTCTTACTCCTGTCATCTACTGACTTACTCCCAGTATCCCTGTCAGCCGACAGTGACTCTGTGTAGTCTCCAAAAGCTAAGCTGAGCTGTGGGTGGTGTTTACTTCTGACCCTGCCATTCTCCCCATGATCTGAGTAAAAAATGAGAAATATTCTTAACTTCCCATTAATACACATACAATTATTATCATAAGTTCTTTTTAAAATTTATTTCAATCAACTCTTTAAAGTCTAAATAACTATCCAAAGGCGATAAAAAGCTTTGAAAATGACTTAGTGCCCCTGTTAACTTCATATTCAGCTTTCATCCTAAACACAAATTATTTTAACACCGTGCATTTATTGCTGAGATACAGGCGTACCTTGAAAATAACCTTCCATTAAAGATAATGAAGAACACTTACTTTCTATTGGGACTCCATTTGTTAACCAGGCAATTCTGGGCTTGGGGTTGCCATTAGCTCTGCAGATGAGGGTGCCGTTCTCTCCAGGGGATAGGACGAGGTTTTGAGGAGCTGCAATCCAGTATGGAGCCGCTTATGGAGAGAAGAGACAAGAAACGCTGACTCAAGAATACATGGACAGTTGCAGTAGATTATAAGGGTTTTGTAAGAGACCCATTAGTCTTACTTTTTAGAATAAAAAAAAATATGAGTTGCCTCAAATAATTCTTTAAACTTTATAAAGAATATAGATCACATGACTTCGAACTCTGAACTTTCTAATTATAAAATGGAGAAATAATTTTAAAACTGTTCATTTTTGAAAAGTTGCAAAGATAGAATAAAGTGTCCCGTACCCCTTTGTTCATGTTCTTCTAATATCTAGGTTTTATGCAGCTGGATTGTGACTGTATATGAGACAGGGAATGACCATTGTCCTGACCTGGATACCACACCATCTCCACTGGTTGAGTCTCTTTAGGTAGGGAGATCCCTCAGTCTCTTCTTTTCTTTCATGATCTGACACCTTTGAGGAGTGTTAGCTGGCTTCAATAAAATACCCATACGTGCATCTGTCTGATGTTTGCTCAGGATTAACTCCTGGCTTGGGACTGTAAGAATATCAAAGTGGTGATGGGTCCTTCCTGATCAACCCACTCCAAGACCACAGTGACTTATGATTAGTGATGCTCAGCTTCATCCCTGGGTTAAGGCACTGTCTGCCAGGTACTCCCACTGCAAAATGACTGCTCTCCAGTGTTCTCTGCTCTCCGTTCATTGGCAGCTGGTCACTACATAGCCCACTCTCAAGATAGGACATAACCTTCATCTCCTCCAGGGAGGAATATTAAAGAGTTAGTGGACATACATTAAAACTGACCTAACCACTAGGTGTTTTTTGTTTGTTTGTTTGTTTGTTTTACTTGTTTGTTTTTTGGATAGAGGAACACTTTGAAGCTATGCAAATATCCTGCTTCTTAAAGTTGTTTTCAGTCACCAATTTTAGAATTCCTCCCTGGATCTCGCCTGAAGCAGTTACCGCTGTGGGTCTATCATTGTGATTTTCTATTTTTACCATTCCTTCTGCATTTACTAATTGCAGTTCTGTGAGGAAGACTCGAAGGAGTGGTTTTTATAATCTAGCCTGGATGCGATTACAATAGAAACGAGAAAAGCTTCATGACACCATGAAAGTGAACATAAATTTAAACTCCTCATTACTGAAGAATGTGATCCAAGGCACAGTCAACGGGTCTTTGGAGCCTCTACAGAAGCAAGGGGAATGCATCTGAAATACTGAAATACCTTTAACTGTGACCGCGATGGTGTGATGCACGGCTCCTAATGGGTTTTTTGCTATGCATTGGTAATTTCCAGAATCTGCTTCTGTAACCTGAGTGATCTGCAAGGTTTTCTTAAAGTTCCGATAGAACGTCCGGTTGACAGGAAGTGTTCCATCTTCTTTAATCCAGTAAATGATTGGCGTAGGCCTGAGAGAATGAATAAGTAATGAATCACAAAGGATGAATTTGCCTGTGACTGTTTGGGAGAGTAAATTCTCATGCACGTTTATAATCAATTCTTTGTGCAAAGATAATGACAAACATATAGACCTATTAATTAACATCACATTTTAAAAAAATAATACTCAAAATCTGTACTTGGGACAATTTCAATTTTCAAATAACTAGGACTATATTAATTTTTGGCGTACTGTAAGTTTGCCTTCACAGATACTGCAAGCATTGATCGCCTTACTAAAGGGACCTACCTAATCTTTTCTTTCAAGTTCTGGCCAGTAAGATGCTCTAGAGACTTTTACTATGTCAATTAAGAGAATTATTATTAAATTAGTCATATTGCAATATAATCTCCCATCAGCTAGAGTCAAAAACATATAGTGAATGAACTCATACACACGCCAGTGTCTCTGGACTCGTGTGTATGGTTACCCATCAAATGATGAAACTTCCTGTTTAATGAGACACTGAAGATGGGAACTAAGTGATTAATGAATTAAAATCATTTTCTTTATTTCATTATTAGTGAAAATTTAAAGTACCATTATACTAATTGATAATAATAGGCCAGATTAATAATACACCTCTTTTCACTCAATTTTATCCTTCCAAGTCTGGAAAATCTAAATTTGCTGATGAAAAGCCAGAATACTGCATGGAGTTAGGTCTTTCTCAAAGTCTCAGAGCTTCACTTAAATTCTTCTCTGACCTTGCTTCCCTGACTTCTTTGGGCCTTAGCATCTCCAGTTGTCTTAACGAGAAGAACGATCTACTCATATAATAATGCCTTTAACAAATTTTCATGAGGTAAAATTTAAAAAATTGTTCAACACAAACATTGTGTGTGTGTGTGTGTGTGTGTGTGTGTGTGTGTGTGTGTACACTAAGCCATGGGTATAAGAAATAGTAAAGAAGTAAGGCTGATCTAGGACTTTGAGACATCTCTCTCTTTGTCATCGGAGATGCAAGAGATATGTTTGTCATAATTTGTTAGATTGGTTTGTTTGGGTGAACATAATGACAGCATATAAACTTGATGGAGCAGTTTCTAAAGTTAAAATTAAAGCATGCTGTGAACATGTAAAGATGTGAGATCAGTCACGTGTGAAACACACAACACGTTTCCTCATAATTAGACTGACTGTTCCACATGAGGCAAGAGAGGGATAGTGCAAGACACTGGTGTTACTGGTGGCGTTGAGAAAAGCCAGCAGTTGTTATGGAAGACTCCTACTCTCCTGAACAATCCTTAAGACTTATGTGTGTTCTAATGCCAAGTCTAACAGTCCCTGATTTACAAGCAGTATAGTCCCTACCAGGGCTTCACAAAATTTCAAAGTTTCAAAAACTTTATTATATATATAAAACCTGAAGGAACTTTTGAATATATATATATATATATCCAAATTACAATCGCATACTTTACAGAAAAAAAAATTCAACGTTCCTAATCTGAAAATGTTAAATGTGCTAAGATATAAAACTAGTTAAATGTCAAGTTGGTGTTTGACTAAAAACAAAATGGAAGTTGGAAAAATTCTGTTAGGAAAGACTGATTTTCTTAATTAAATTTATTTATTTACTTTACATCCCAGCTGCAGCTCCTCCTCTGTTTCTGTTCAGAAAGGGGCAGGTCTCCTATAGGTACCAGCAAAGCATGGGAAAGGGGACAGATTTTTTTTTTTAACCTATCTTTAAGAATATTAGTTTTTAGCTGAAGACCTGTCACATTGGGTGTGATTTCCCGATTTGGCCAGCAGAGGCCCCCATGCGCATCCTAAAACAATCATTCCTGGATTAAGGAAAGTTTATGTGATCACTGGATTGCCAGGTCAGAGGCAACGCAAATCCCAAAACCTGAAGGCAGCATGCTCCTGGGATCCCACTCACAGCTGCAGTAGCTGTGCCCGGAAAGGCACTTGCTCTATGCCAGGTCCGATGGGAAAGTCGGTCTAGACCCTGCCTGTCATATGGACCTGACTTCACAGTTGCTCTTTTATCTGCCCAAGGACTCCGGGAAATGCCTGTCAAAGGCACATGAGCTTTACAGTCTGTCCTCAGGAATTGGAGCAATGGCACGGTTCTGAGTCCTGGGCATGGCTGCGTGCTTTTGATGACAGAGGTGCACCATGTGGCAGACCTTGCTGAACCCCCAGTTAATCTGCCTTCTGATGCTGCCCTCCCCGCTCTAGACAAACGATCAAAGGATAAGTAGATGTTACTTTTTAACCTACCGAGTACCGAGGTTGTTTGTTAGAAAGGAGCAAATTTCTACCCCCTTCCTAAAGCACAGCGACCATACGGGGATTATAGTGTAGACAACGTAGTACAGCACAATCAAAATATTTGAACAATAGCATGGATTTCAAAGTTTACTCAGGAAATGTTTGTAAGGTTTTCTGGATTTTAGAAACATAAGACAATGGTTCTCCCTGGGCGTGAATGCCTATTGGTATTTTGTATTTGGTAGGAGGCGAGCATCCGGAACGTGTTGACTCACAGGCCCTCTGCGATGCATTCCAGAGAAAGCGCATTTCCTCTTAGCTCCTCTTTGAGGCTTTCGTTGCCCTCTGGAGTTAGAAATGTTGGTGGCCTTTCTTTACTAGGCTTGGCTGCAAACAAGAAATACAATATATGTTAAAATTTTTAACCTGTGTTTCTGAGAACACAGTCATTGTCAAAAGGCTGGCTAGAATTCTAATCTTGTTTCAAATCCACTTAATGCTTGTTTTGAAATTTGTCTAGCTATGCGTACACACTCTCTCCTTACACTTATTCGGTGTGCAAGAACACAAGCAATTTTGGTTGTGTGAGCAAACCAGTAAAAGGATTCCTTTTGTACATGCCTTTAATTTGGGTTGGGTCTTTATTAATTTTCTGTGGGCTGGTCAATTTTCAAAACCACAGCAAAGAAACGTCAGCTCAATAAGGTACATGTCCCTTAAGACTGGTGCTCAGGGTGAAGCAAAAAGTGTGTATTTTGAAAGATGTTCAAATCTTTTTTCAGCAGTAAATGATTGTGGACAAAGTATTTTGATGTGTTCTGGAGATAACAGTAGAGCCAGTTCCGCTGACTTATATGAAGATTGCTACACTGCAAGATCTGTGCAAAATAAACTAAAACTAGGCAATTGCTGACAGAGTTCTGGCAAATTACATGCCATGAATTAAGATTAAAGGTAAAGAGGCTAAAGGGTGACTGCATGGCAGAGAGTTTGTGTCATGGATAAGCTCCTGGGTTTGGTCCCTCGCTTTGGAGAAAGAGGAAAAGTGTATTAGCAGAGCTAAACACATTGAAATCAGTTTCTCAATAACAAAATAAAAAGGGTCTAAGTCAGAGAGCTTAGAACTATTTATACCGAATGCCCCCTGTCTGACGGACTCTTAAAAGTGTGGCCTTATCTACTGAGTCCTTGAGATATTTTCAGGTGGAAATGTCATAGGACTGGATTTTCATTGTTTCAACCACAAATGATCTACTTGATACTTCTAAAACCAAATGAAGAGGTGGTATGTAAAGTTCTCATTTCTCAAAAGTACCAAAACGGCATTGCTGAAGAAAAATTAGTTTTCTTAAGGATTTAGAGCTTGTTGGGGGACCTTACTCCTCTAAAAACCACTTTGAGAATGCTCTTGATACCCATATTTGGGGGACAATATTAAACAAATAAAGGTGAGAATTAGATACTGCCATATTCTCTAATGTTCATATCTCAAAGGCGAAAAATTAAAGCAGCAAAAACTCTATGGGAATTAAAAAGCCCTTAGGTCCAGAGTTTCTTATTTTTAGTGATATATTTTATGTTTGACAACCGTGTTTTCCTTAAGGAAATCAAACTCTTTTCATCTTAAAACAATAAAGCTGAATGATCTATTTTTAAAAGTTTGCTCCCACAGAAGACAATGAGTGGATTTCTACCAACGCTAAGAATAATACAGTTGCTAATTCTCCTGAGTAATGTCATGTAAAACTTACAGAGGGTTAGACGACTACTATGGGATATATTCTATGTTAGTTACTGAAGGCGCAGTATCAGTATTCCAGCGGTTAATATGACCAGTAAGTTCATGTGTAGGTCATGCAGAGAGGTTTTAGACAGCACAAAATATGGGAAATACAATTCTGAACACACATGAAAGAATTTTTTCTAAAGCATATGAAATGGTTTGCATGAAAAATTATAACAAGTTTAATAATACATACACCATGGAAAAGGTTTTAGTGACATGGTTGAAATTGTATAGCTAGGTTTCATAAGAAACACACGTTGATATGGTGATATTAAACATGTAATTAGAAATTTCATACAGAAACAAAGTTAAATAGCCATGGAGGTGAAGTTAGTGAACTAAAGTCTACAATGAAGGAGAGAATATCAGTTACAACCGGTGTAACTCACCACCATAAAACTCAGTGTCACTCAAATTAGCAGCTATAGTGTCATTCAATTCATCCACTGAAATAAACAGAATATCATGAAGAGGGCATAGAAGCGGGGAGCAGAGTCAAAAACCACTGGGCGACAAAAACAAATTCCTACGTCTACGCTAAGTGCTATTCCTTCCAGGTAGACTCAGTGCTTGACACCCTACTAGCTAACTCACTCGCTCATTCACTCTGCCACCCCCAACCACAACTTGAACTGTAGGATAAATGCCAATCAAACGCATTGTGAGGCAGAATGCCTACGCCAATACTCAGAACACCACAGAGTCGGGAGGTTGCCGTAGAAACAGGACTGGCAATCGGTGAAAAAAGCAAAATACAATATTTAGAGTATGCATGCTTTTTCTAGCACATAAGCTAATGCTTTAGCGAGCTTCACAAGGATTCTCCTGACCACTGAACTGGTTTACCTCAGAATCAGAACCGTATTTAATTGCTAATCATTAGATTCACATACGTAGCCACCACTGAAAGAGACCCAGAGGGCCGAGCTCTCACCTGAAATCACCTTCAGAGAAATAGGCTGCTTCTGTTGTATGGTTTGAGTGTGATTAAATCTGGCATAGCAGATATAGTCTTCACGGGTGTCTTCTGGGAGGACATTGGAGAAGTAAAGGTCTCCATTCAGGCCTTGGGAAACCCGCTCACTCTGCGGAAGTCTTTGGAAGGCTGGAGGAAGACAGAGAGTTACTCAGGTCATTCTATCCCCACAGCAGCCGGACAACCACCTACTTACTAATACCTCTGTACTTCACCTGAAAAAAATGACATATTTCTCACAGGTCTATTAGTAAAAGAAAACTGGTTTTGTTGTTGTTTTATTTTTGGTTTTGGTTTGTGTTTTTAAGATGTGGGATACATAGACAGTCAACCAGACCTGGCCGATCCTGATTTCTTGGAGCTTGAAGCAGCAATAGGACTAGAACTATGAAGCAAAATATTACATTAAGAACAGAAAAACAAAAAATGCCCTGTAACAGGCCTGCATGCTTCCTGGCATCTGAAACTGTCTCTAATTGCACACATCTTGGAAAACACGTCAGAAAAATTTGTAAGGATATTAACATGAGTTACATGTCATCACAAATTAGGCTCTGAGCAAGGAGACCAGCACAACAGTCGCCTAGTCTGGTGTGAATTTACAATCTAATCATGAATCATGCCGCAAACACCTGTTAAACATACAAGCACTGACGCCTCTATTTGATGCTATGATCAGCTGCTGGGAAGTCAGACCCGGTTTCCCTCACCTCATGTACAGCTCATCTTGTGACACAGTCTACCTTCTACTCATTATATGTGTGCATAATGGCCATCTCCTTGTACTAAAATTAAAGCTCCAGGAGGGAGGACATGTTTTGTTTAATGTTGAAGCTATGGACAGGCGTCCACCCTTTGGCACGGGCTCCTTCAAACACCTTGGAAGGACTAACTATCAGCCATCAGCACACTGGCATTCCAGTTCCCAGAATGATTGTCCTTCAGGAGCAGGTGAGGAGCTAGCCTCGGGCACAATGAGAGGCTTTCCTACACGGCTGAGGAATGAAGAGAGGTGGGAGCCACTGATCTGTGTGCGATGTTGCATTTGACCATCAGAAAGCATCCCGAAGCTCCGGACTTAGTTCCCAGAGCCTGACCTATGATTTCTTCAGCTCCCATGTGAGGGAGACTTAGACAAGTCACACGTCCCTGCAACATCAGGCTGGGTGTCATATTTGCTGTTGGGATCTCTTCAGTTTGAGGCAAGGATGTGTGCTATTCCTTCAGCAGGTATCTGACCTAACGTTTCTTTCACAAAGTTCTAAATTGTAGTTAAAACCCAGCAGTAACTTTGACGGTCAGAGCCCAATGAATTGTGTTACTCAAGTTTCCGTCAAGGTGGAGGCGTATAAGTTTATAGTCTTAAAACATTAATCCTCTTGGAGAGGAACGATTTTAAGATATTGAGGAAAAGAATGTACACTGAGAGCAAGACAGGGTGGTGCATGCCTGAAATCCAAGCTATTTGGAAGGTTGAAGAGGAAGGACTACAAGATGAGGCAAGTCTGTACTACATGAGAAGTTCAACATCAGCCTGGGATATATGGGCTATACAGCCTTGTCTCAGAAAATGTTCATTTATCTAATGAATCCAAGGCACCGAAGACATATATTTATTGTCTTTTGTTTCTCTTCCTGAATTGCATGGTTGATGGATGCTGGTAGCTCAGATGCGAGGCAACAGGACATCAATAGAGGGCATGAGGTTGCCCTTGAGTTTCTTTATATTACACTTGGAGAAAAGATTATGCAGATAGGGATATTTTTATGATGCATAAAGCGAGAGTGCTACAGGGATTCAGCTTCTCCTCATATTTCAGATGCAAGCTCATTTGAAAGGCGGATGGTTTGCTGCCATTTTAAAATTTATGAAATCATACATATTGTCAGCTGCGCCATGCAGGAAGCATTAGCGATGTATTCAGATTATTTGGAGAGTTTCCATGTGACATATTTCTTTATTAAGCAAACAAGAAATCATTTCTGAATAAGAACGATTAATGCATCTAATTTTGGTGGTGACATTTGAAGAGTGTTACTCTCGAAGCCATACATCACTCCTTTACATTGGTTTTGTTGCTTATGCCCTCAAAATCCATAAGAGCTGCCACATCAATAAAGGAGCACATATTTGCTCATTTATTTGTTTATAGATTTCATTTTCATGGCTCATGACACTTTCTTGGAGTGGTTTCATGAGTCAACAATGAATATGAAGTGTTAAGACTCTGATTTTCCCTTCAGTGGGGTCTGCAGCCTGTGATTGCAGAGGGAGTCAGGTCTCTGAGGAGAGGGTATTTTGTGCAAATCTTTTGCACGCATTCCCACCATTCCCTCTACAGGTAGGTCCCTTTCAAGGTCACAGCGGTGCCCTCGTTGCAGATCTAGCAGTCATTTCCAGGACTCATGTTATCTCTATCAGCTTCACTCCATACATATGTACTCCATACATATGACATATGTACATAGTCATTACTATGTTCATAGCCTGTCTTCTCCACCTGCTCCGTGCAACACCGTGCTGTGCCGCTAGGGACTCTTTCGGCCTCAGTCACTGCTCCTTCTCATTTGATTTTTTTCCTGTGTTTCCCTAAATTCTTGCAAGGCTCTTGCTGTTAGCCCCGAGGCTCAGTTCTCTACCTCCAATAGTGACTGTCTAAATGATCTCATTCAGCCCATGGCTGTTTCCCTATGCCTTTATACACTAAGAATTGAAACCCTGCTGACTGCAACCCTGGCTTATCCCCTGCCTCACACCCCTGACCTTTGCTGAGTATACTGATATGAGCATGTCTTGGACCAAGTTCTGTGCCACCTCTGAGATAGCATGCTAACACAATAGCTCTGGTGGGCTATAACAATAAATATTTCTGTCAATGACTAGGTCAAAAGTAGACCCATTTGAAATTTTCTAGCAAATGTCATTTCTCCTTGTTCCAGTTTCCCTACTGGGAAAATGGAGAGGATGACGGGATATGCCTCATCTGTGTAAGCCACATCCTGGAGAATCCATGTGCTATCCTTGACAAAGGAATCCATGTGATATTCTTGGCAAAGGAACCCAGTAAAGGCTCAATAAATATTAGCTGTTTGGGGTGATTAAAAAAAAAAAGAAACCCTAAAGATATGAAATAATAGAAGTAACCTGATTTCCTCCACTACCAGCCTTTGAGGTTTCAGGAAAGGAGTCTCCTATTTTTCAATCAGTTTTCAGTCTCTAAACTTTATATTCATCTCTGATTCTTCTCCATGTAGTCCCATCTCTCCCTCTGTGGAGGCTGTACCCTCCCATCATAGCCAGAGTCAGACCCACTCCAGGGCTACCTCTCAAGTCCAAGCACCATTAACCGTGTCCTGGATTGCAGCAATGCACACCTAATTGACCTCCGCGGCCCTCTCTTGTTCAAGTGCTGGGCATTAAACCTAGGGTCTTATAGAGTCTAGACTAGTGGTCTGCCACTAAGCCACATGCTGAGCCACATCCTGGCCCCTCCCCCAGTTCTCTTCTGCTCTCCATACTCTACACCCATAATGGAAATGAACCTTTTGCTAATTATTTTATTTCCGATAAATATGCCCCTTCAACATTTTCCTATTTCATTCAGAGAGAGAGAAAAAACAAAGCCCTTCCCATTGAGTCGCCTTGGTCCCCTGACACTGACATCCTCCTTCCCCTTGGCTCTTTTACTATGGTCGCTTTTTTGCTTGCTTGTTTGTTTGTTTGTTTCCATTTCTTCACCCTAGGGATGCTTCTCCTTAGGGTTGGCACCAAGGCCCCCTTTTCACACAGATATGCCCGTCGTCACTCGTGTACCCTCTCAGCCCAGCCCATTAGCACGGGGCTCACCTTTGTGCTTTGTTTTCTTCCATAAAATTTATTGTTGACTGATACAGATTGTCAAGACACATTTACTGTTGGCTTCCTTTTCTGCCTCAGCTGACCCTAGTTGTCTAGGAAGGAAGCCTGGTTGTGACTGGGCTAATATTTTTTGTTGTTGTTGTTAATCTCTAGCAGCGCATGGCACAGTGAATGAATGATGTGGCATGGTACTTACGTCACTAAGAATGAATGGTGTGGCATGGTACTTGCGTCACTAAAAATGAATGATGTGGCATGGTACTTATGTCACTAAGAATGAATGATGTGGCATGG